CACTGAAATTCTCAGGACCTGGAATTTAGCCATTGAAATTTTCAGGAGCTGGAATTTAGCCACTGAAATTCTCAGGAGCTGGAATCTAGCCACTGAAATTCTCAGGAGCTGGAATTTTACCAACTGAAATTCTCAGGACCTGGAATTTATCCACTGAAATTCTCAGGAGCTGAAATTTTAGCAACTGAAATTCTCAGGACCTGAAATTTAGCCACTGAAATTCTCAAGAGCTGGAATTTTAGCAACTGAAATTCTCAGGACCTGGAATTTATCCACTGGAATTCTCAGGAGCTGGAATTTTAGCAACTGAAATTTTCAGGAGCTGTATTTTATCCACTGAAATTCTCAGGAGCTGTAATTTCGCCACTGAAATTCTCAGGACCTGGAATTTAGCCATTGAAATTTTCAGGAGCTGGAATTTAGCCACTGAAATTCTCAGGAGCTGGAATCTAGGCACTGAAATTCTCAGGAGCTGGAATTTTTCCAACTGAAATTCTCAGGACCTGGAATTTATCCACTGAAATTCTCAGGAGCTGAAATTTTAGCAACTGAAATTCTCAGGACCTGAAATTTAGCCACTGAAATTCTCAAGAGCTGGAATTTTAGCAATTGAAATTTTCAGGACCTGGAATTTATCCACTGGAATTCTCAGGACCTGGAATTTATCCACTGAAATTCTCAGGACCTGGAATTTATCCACTGAAATTATCAGGACCTGGAATTTATCCACTGAAATTCTCAGGACCTGGAATTTATCCACTTGAATTCTCAGGAGCTGGAATTTAGCCACTGAAATTTTCGGGAGCTGGAATTTAGCCACTAAAATTCTCAGGAGTTGGAATTTTAGCAATTGAAATTCTCAGGACCTGGAATTTATCCACTGAAATTATCAGGAGCTGGAATTTCGCCACTGAAATTCTCAGGACCTGGAATTTAGCCATTGAAATTTTCAGGAGCTGGAATTTAGCCACTGAAATTCTCAGGAGCTGGAATCTAGCCACTGAAATTCTCAGGAGCTGGAATTTTACCAACTGAAATTCTCAGGACCTGAAATTTATCCACTGAAATTCTCAGGATCTGAAATTTTAGCAACTGAAATTCTCAGGACCTGAAATTTAGCCACTGAAATTCTCAAGAGCTGGAATTTTAGCAATTGAAATTCTCAGGACCTGGAATTTATCCACTGGAATTCTCAGGAGCTGGAATTTTAGCAACTGAAATTTTCAGGAGCTGTATTTTATCCACTGAAATTCTCAGGAGCTGGAATTTCGCCACTGAAATTCTCAGGACCTGGAATTTAGCCATTGAAATTTTCAGGAGCTGGAATTTAGCCACTGAAATTCTCAGGAGCTGGAATCTAGCCACTGAAATTCTCAGGAGCTGGAATTTTACCAACTGAAATTCTCAGGACCTGGAATTTATCCACTGAAATTCTCAGGAGCTGAAATTTTAGCAACTGAAATTCTCAGGACCTGAAATTTAGCCACTGAAATTCTCAAGAGCTGGAATTTTAGCAACTTAAATTCTCAGGACCTGGAATTTATCCACTGAAATTCTCAGGACCTGGAATTTATCCACTGAAATGATCAGGACCTGGAATTTATCCACTGAAATTCTCAGGACCTGGAATTTATCCACTGAAATTCTCAGGAGCTGGAATTTAGCCACTGAAATTTTCGGGAGCTGGAATTTAGCCACTAAAATTCTCAGGAGTTGGAATTTTAGCAATTGAAATTCTCAGGACCTGGAATTTATCCACTGAAATTATCAGGACCTGGAATTTCGCCACTGAAATTCTCAGGAGCTGGAATTTTCGCGAGCTGGAATTTAGCCACTAAAATTCTCAGGAGCTGGAATTTTAGCAATTGAAATTCTCAGGACCTGGAATTTATCCACAGAAATTCTCAGGACCTGGAATTTATCCACTGAAATTCTCAGGACCTGGAATCTAGCCACTGAAATTCTCAGGAGCTGGAATTTTAGAAACTGAAATTCTCAGGACCTGGAATTTAGCCACTAAAATTCTCAGGAGCTGGAATTTAGCCACTGAAATTCTCAGGAGCTGGAATTTAGCCACAAATTATCAGGAGCTGGAATTTAGCCACTGAAATTCTCAGGAGCTGGAATCTATCTACTGAAATTCACAGGAGCTGGAATTTTAGCAAATGAAATTCTCCAGAGCTGGAATTTCGACACTGAAATTCTCAGGACATGGAATTTTAGCAACTGAAATTCTCAGTACCTGGAATTTAGCCACTAAAATTTTCAGGAGCTGGAATTTAGTGTGTGTATTATTAGTGTGTGTGTGTATTATTAGTGTGTGTATTATAAGTGTATGTGTATTATTAGTATCTGTTATTACTGTCTGTGTGTTATTAGTGTCTGTGTTATTAGTGTTTGTGGTATTAGTGTCTGTGTGTTATCAGTGTCTGTATTATCAATGTCTGTGTATTATTAGTGTCCGTGTATTATTAGTGTCTGTGTATTATTAGTGTCTGTGTGTTATTAGTGTCTGTGTTATTAGTGTCTGTGTGTTATCAGTGTCTGTGTGTTATCAGTGTCTGTGTATTATTAGTGTCTGTGTATTATTAGTGTGTGTGTATTATTAGTGTCTGTGTATTATTAGTGTGTATTATTTGTCTGTATTATTAGTGTATATGTATTATTAGTGTATGTGTATTTTTAGTGTCTGTGTATTATTAGTGTATGTGAATTATTAGTGTCTGTGTATTATTAGTGTCTGTGTATTAGTGTCTGTGTATTATTAGTGTCTGTGTATTATTAGTGTATGTGTGTTATTAGTGTATGTGTGTTATTAGTGTCTGTGTTATCAGTGTCTGTGTATTATCAGTGTGTGTGTGTTATCAGTGTCTGTGTGTTATCAGTGTCTGTGTATTAGTGTATGTGTATTATTAGTGTCTGTGTATTATTAGTGTCTGTGTATTATTAGTGGCTGTGTATTATTAGTGTATGTGTATTATTAGTGTCTGTGTATTATTAGTGTCTGTGTATTATTAGTGTGTGTGTATTATCAGTGTCTGTGTGTTATCAGTGTCTGTGTATTATTAGTGTCTGTGTATTATTAGTGTCTGTGTATTATTAGTGTGTGTATTATTAGTGTGTGTGTGTTATTAGTGTCTGTGTATTATTTGTGTCTGTATTATTAGTGTATATGTATTATTAGTGTCTGTGTATTATTAGCGTCTGTGTATTATTAGTGTCTGTGTATTATTAGTGTCTGTGAATGTATTAGTGTCTGAATTATTAGTGTCTGTGTATTATTAGTTTCTGTAATATTATTGCCTGTGTATTATTAGTGTCTGTGTATTATTTGTGTCTGTGTGCGTGTTCTTGTCTTTGAATGTTTATAATTAGCATGGTAACCGTAGAGTGAGGTGTACTGTCACGTGGGGTGTTCTGTTGCCTGGTGTACTGTAGCGTGGTGTACTGTAGCATAGGTAACTGTAGTCTGTGTACTGTAAAGTCTGGTATACTGTAGTCTATCGTGCATTATGTTTTGTATAGCACAGTGGGTAGTGCACTACAGTGTGTAGAGTGCGGCACAGGTGGTGTGCGTGTGTGCCGTGGGTGGTGTGAGTGGGGAGGTGTGTATGTATGTATGTGAGTGGGTGAGTGGATGTTTGTGTGAGTAGGTATGTAAGTGGGTGTGTGGGTTTGTGAGTGGGTGTGTGGGTTTGTGGGTATGTGAGTAGGTGTATGGGAATATGAGTGGGTGTGTGAGTGGGGACGGGGTGTGTAGGTAGATGGATCAGTCCGTGTGAGGGGCTAGTAACACCTCCACCTGCCACTTTGTCTACCAAGCACCACGGTACAAACACCGAAATAATCTCGTGACGGGCGTCCATGACGCCTTCTGGCCAAACTCCACCTGACAGAGCCAGGAGACTGAACCCCCCTCCCCTCCTCCAAGGGTTCTTCCAGGAACAGCAGAACACTGAGGTTCACCAAGTGAAATGTTCGGACACTCATTGCAGAGGAGAGGCTACCACTCCTCTGTCGGGAGATTGACCGGTACCGCCTGGACCTCTGTGTAATACAGGAGGTCCGGTAGACCAGTTATGGCTGCAGTCATAATGAGGGGTGGACAACTCTCTACTCAGGGCAGGAAACTTCCAAACAGCAGAAAGTGGCACTCCTTTTGAATAAAATAATGAATGTGGTGTGGGAGCATGGTGGTGAGGTGTAGGAAACTGTAAGCCCCAGGCTACTGTGGGATCACCTCCCCGTCGACAAGAGGTGACGAATGGTGTTGGTTGCTTGTGCCTCCACCGATAGTGGACATCAGGGGAGGGATGCAGACAAGGCCAATTAGTCAAACGCCTTTTAAAACCTCCTGTCCCAGGTGCTGGCTAAAGTGGCTCTTCGGAATGGAGTCATCCTGTTGGGTGACTTTAATGCCCGAGTTGGTCATGATGCAGACACCTGGGTTGGAGTGATTGGAAGGCATGGGCCAGATCAACTAAATAAAAATGGTTGGAGGCTGTTGGACTTCTGTGCAGCCCATGGGATTGTAATTACCAACAGCATAGGTGCATCTATACAACACCACGGATGCGCGCCGGGTCCAAGCAAGAACATCTCCTGGACTACATAGTGATGGAACAGCGGATTGGGGCCCATGTCCTTGACACCAGAACCTACCGTGGAGCTGTTCTACCCACTGAACATCGACTTGTCATCTGTAAGATGTGTCTGCCATTCTTCCACTCCAGTGGTAGACGTCCATCTAGGACCCCATTCACACCCACAGTGGCCTGGTCTCAGCTAGCTGAGGATAGTTGCAAGCAGGAATTTTAACATCGCTTGCAGCTGGGGTTGGCATCGTCCCCCCTTTCTGCTGATGCTGAGGGGAAATTGGTGAGGTTCAGGACTGTGGCTTATGGAGATGCAATTGCTGCATTGGGTACGCGGTCCAGACCTCCCCAGAGACACTGGCTGAAGGTGGAGGTGTTTCTGCTCATTGAGAAATAATGACAGGCTCACTCCCATCGTCTACAACATCCAACATCGGAAAATGAGGAGGCTTACCGCAGTCTTGGCCGGGAGATTCGGAGAGCCATGCAGTGATGAAAGAATGAGTGGTGGGAGCGGGTTACTGAGGAGATGGAGTCTGCCTTAGTAGCCCGTAATCACAAATCACTATTCAACTCCATGAAAAAAGTAACTTCCAGCGCCTCACCTATCACCATCCTTAAGGAAAAGAGCGGTAATCCATTATTTGACCCCCAGAAACAGACTTGCAGGTTTGCAGGGCATTCTTGTGAGGTCTTGGAGGAGGGGAATGCCCTCAGCCCAGACAACATGGGGAAAAGTGGGGACGACCCTGCTAGGGCTGCGGTGCCTCAAATATTGGCAGAAGTAGCCACCCCTTCTGAATGGTTGGCTGAGGTGCCATCCGTGGAGGAAGTGAAAGGCGCGATCCAAATTCTGAGATGAGGAAAAGCGCCGTCCATAGACGATCTCCCAACTGAAATGCTAAGAGAGGGTGGCATCTGTGTGCGGACTGCCCGACTTGATTTGATCACAAATTTCTGGACCACAGGATGGGTTCTGCAGGATTGGGAAGATGCCCTAGTGGTCCCCCTCTTTAAGAAGGGAGATTGCACAGAATGTAACAACTACAGGGGCCTATCACTCCTCAGTGTGAGGCCGGGAAAGGTCCTGGCAAGGATTATTCAAAATCGCCTTGCCAGGCATGCTGAGGAGAGGCTTGTGGAGCCCCAATGTGGTTTCAGACCAGGGCACTCCTGCACAGATGCCATATTCTCTATCCTGCTACAGCAAAGGTGTAGGGAATTCCTACAAGATCAATATATCTGCTTTGTTGACCTGGTCAAGGCCTATGATATAATCAACTGGCCAGGGCTCTGGGTTTTCCTTCATTCTATCAGAGCCCCTGACTCCCTGCTTACAATCATTAAGGGCATTCATGATGTTGGGCAGGCCCGGGTAAAGCTACGTGGGCAGGAGTCCGAGCCATTCCCTGTTCACCTTGGAGTGCGAAAAGAATGTGCTCTGGCTCCCACATTATTCAACATAATTCTTCACCACGTACTTCGAGAAGCTTTCCATGGCTGTACCAGAGGAATTTTATGAGTAACTCCGGTTTTACAGCAGATATCTCACTCCGAATCAGTCGGGCGGCATTATCCTTTCATCGGCTGCGTAATGCTGTGTGGAAGCTACCTGATCTGTCGCGCCATACAAAGCTTCGGGTCTTCTCAGCCACAGTAATGCCCTCCCTTCTCTATGCTCTTATGAAACATTTGCGCTGGTTACAAACATTTAGGCTGGCCTGCCTCCGAACCATCCTGGTTTTAACCAGGCTGGATTATGTCAGGAGCTCACAAATCATTGAAAGATCTGGACACATTCCCATCAGTAAGCTCCTCTCGCAGGCAAGGCTACATTGGCTGGGTCATGTAGCCCGCATGCCCAGCCACCGCATGCCCACGCAGTTGCTGGATAGAGGGGGCTAAATGAGCATGGCCAGAGAAGGGATGGACTGATGCGGAATGGCAGGATGTGGAGCCGAGTGGACTTCCCGACGACTGGTAGCAGTGATGTCAAGATTTGCCTTTGTGGAAGAGGCTCATGAAGGACGCTACTGGGCAGTTGGAGGCAGTCACCGTCCAACAACAACTGAGGGCGGAGCGCCGTGTGGATAAAATGCAGCAAGTTGGCACAGTAGAGGGTACAACTGGTGGTGCATCTACCAGTCATCTCAGTCAGCCAACCCATGGCACCTGCTGGGTCTGTCCCGTGACCTCTTGTCAGTAAGCTTTCGATACTTCACGTGGCCTCAAAATTCACCTGACCTGGTACAGGCGCCGTGGTAGTCTAGCGGTTAGCGCGCTGCGCTACAAACCTGGCGACCCGGGTTCGATTCCCACTCACGGCCAACACCAGTGATGACTATCTGAACCGATCCTGGGCCTCCCCTAGGTTGGCTCAGCATCAAATGAGTACCTGGTGCAATGTGAAAACATCGCCACTAGGGAGACAAAGGCGGCCGGGCGTGGTGTTGGCCACCCACTCCCTCATGTGCCGTGCCGGCCTTTATAGGTGCTCGTATATAAATCAACCCCAAGTACTGTACTGAAGAAGCTTGACTCAATTTATCACTCAGCCTTAAGATTTGCATTGAACTGCCCATATAGGACTCACCACTGTGATCTCTACATTGGGTCAAACTTAACATCTCTTAATGTTCGACGGCTTATTCACGATGTACTTACAAAAAAATCCGCAGACTACCTGCTGGATCTCCTCTCTGTTTCGACAAATGTGACCTAAGGTCTTCGCTCATTTACCAGCTTCACATTCCGTATTGCCATACAAATACTTGAGGAAGGACCTTTGTTATTGATGCCCCCAGGGTCTGGAATGCTATTGCCAATAAACTGCAACTTGAATCACTACCTATGAGATCTTCACTCAAAACTGCTCTAGAGGAGTTTTACACCACTAGCTGCCACTGCTATTCAGTGGCCTAAAATCAAATGTTTTCGCTCCGGATGACCGTTGAAAAGTATGATCTTGTGTTTTGATTTAGTGTGCTGATCTTAAAGGTGCATTGAAAAATGTTGATACTCCTACTGATGCTCCTGCTGTTGTGGAGTGACTCATGCAGCCAGCTATGGCTGCAGGGTTTGGTGGTACATGTTGTTTCTGTCGTTTATTGTGAAAATTCGGTCACAGTTCCTATGATCACTGTTACATTGCTTATGGCTTTATTTTGGTGATTTCGAAAAGTTTTTTGGTTTGGCCATGTTTGTTTGTTTGTTGTAGTACGGAGTTAGACTGATGGCTTTAATCTAAGTTGTCTTGTGGTTGTTGTTTGTTGTTTGACTTGCATCCCACTGGGATTTTTGCACACAGCGTTGGTGTACGGTGCTTTTTCTGGAAGACTGCAGTTTTTTCCTGGATTTTTCTGTTTGCACGTAGTCACTTTAAGATGTTTTCTTGTTCATGTTTTTGTTTTGTTGCGGTTGCACCCGATTCAGGAGCCGAATGGCTCACGGGCTATACCTAATAAACTGAAACTAACAGCACTTGCCCCTACAGTCTGTTAAGGCTAAACGGGGGATCTTTATCTATTTGTCTTTGTATCTGTGCTTGTCGCTGTGTGTGTGTATCTGTACGTGTCGCTCTGTGTATTGTGTGTGTCGCTGTGTGTGTATTTGTGCATGTCGCTGTGTGTGTGTGTGTGCATCTGTGTGTGTGTGCATCTGTGTGTGTGTGTATGTGGTACGCACATGTTGTAGTGGATCTTGGAGTATCCAATGAATTCAAGTCCATCATGTGCATGGGCACTGCAAAAAAAAATCACCACGTCATCCTCACTACGTCATCATCATCACCAACTGAACGAAACACTGAACTAAAAAAACACCTACCAACAGACTGACCGACTAACACACAAACCGACTAACACACAAACTGACTAACACACAAACTGACTAACACACAAACTGACTAACACACAAACTGACTAACACACAAACTGACTAACACACAAACTGACTAACACACAAACTGACTAACACACAAACTGACTAACACACAAACCGACTAACACACAAACTGACTAACACACAAACTGACTAACACACAAACCGACTAACACACAAACCGACTAACACACAAACTGACTAACACAAACTGGCTAACACACAAACTGACTAACACACAAACCGACTAACACACAAACCGACTAACACAAACTGACTAACACACAAACTGACTAACACACAAACTGGCTAACACAAAGACTGACTAACACACAAACTGACTAACACACAAACTGACTAACACACAAACTGGCTAACACAAAGACTGACTAACACACAAACTGACTAACACACAAACCGACTAACACACAAACTGACTAACACACAAACTGACTAACACACAAACTGACTAACACAAACCGACTAACACAAACCGACTTACACACAAACTGACTAACACACAAACCGACTAACACACAAACTGACTAACACACAAACTGACTAACACACAAACTGACTAACACAAACCGACTAACACACAAACTGACTAACACACAAACCGACTAACACACAAACTGACTAACACACAAACTGACTAACACAAACTGACTAACACACAAACCGACTAACACACAAACTGACTAACACACAAACCAACTAACACACAAACTGACTAACACAAACTGACTAACACACAAACCGACTAACACACAAACCGACTAACACACAAACTGACTAACACACAAACTGACTAACACACAAACTGACTAACACAAACCGACTAACACACAAACCGACTAACACACAAACTGGCTAACACACAAAGTGACTAACACAAACCGACTAACACACAAACCGACTAACACACAAACCGACTAACACACAAACCGACTAATACACAAACTGACTAACACAAACTGACTAACACACAAACCGACTAACACACAAACTGACTAACACACAAACCGACTAACACACAAACTGACTAACACAAACCGACTAACACAAACCGACTAACACACAAACTGACTAACACACAAACTGACTAACACACAAACCGACTAACACACAAACTGACTAACACAAACCGACTAACACACAAACCGACTAACACACAAACTGACTAACACACAAACCGACTAACACACAAACTGACTAACACACAAACCGACTAACACACAAACCGACTAACACACAAACCGACTAACACACAAACTGACTAACACACAAACTGACTAACACACAAACTGACTAACACACAAACCGACTAACACACAAACTGACTAACACAAACCGACTAACACACAAACTGACTAACACACAAACCGACTAACACACAAACTGACTAACACACAAACTGACTAACACACAAACTGACTAACACACAAACCGACTAACACACAAACCGACTAACACACAAACCGACTAACACACAAACTAACTAACACACAAACTGACTAACACACAAACTGACTAACACACAAACTGACTAACACACTTACCAACTATAACACTGACCAACATATTGGCCGATCAACACACTGGCCAGCAAAACACACTGTCTGACTAACACACTGACCGACTGACACACTTACCGACTAACACACTGACCGACCGACACACTGACCGACTGACACACTGACCGACTAACACACTGACCGACCAACACACTGACCTACTAACACACTGACCTACTAACACTGACCTACTAACACATTGGCCGACCAACAAACTGACCTACTAACACACTGACCTACTTACAGATTGGCCGACTAACAAACTGACCGACTAACAAGCTGACCGACTAATAAACTGACCTACTAACACACTGACCGACTGACACACTGACCGACCAACACACTGACCGACCAACACACTGACCGACTAACACACTGACCGACTAACACACTGACCTACTAACACACTGACCTACTAACACATTGGCCGACCAACAAACTGACCTACTAACACACTGACCTACTAACACACTGACCTACTAACACACTGACCTACTAACACCCTGACCTACTGACACACTGACCTACTAACACATTGGCTGACCAACAAACTGACCTACTAACACACTGACTGACTAACGCACCATCCGACTTTCACACTATCATACCGACTAGGCAGATGCACAGACACAGCAATTAAGTGACCGGCAAACGACAACACAGGCTGAGAGACAGAGAGACATACAGGGACTGACCGACTGACATACCCCCAGACACACCGACTGACTGACATGCCCACAGACAGACACCCTGACCGACTGACATACCCACAAACAGATACACCAACTGACTTACCCAAAGACAGACACAATGACCAAGTAACTGACCCACAGACAGACACACCGCCTGACTAATATACCCACAGACTGACCGACTGCCAGATCGACAGACTGACACACAGACTGAGTGACATGCTGACAAACCATATCACAGACCCACAGACCGACCAATTGACATATCCACAGACAGACAGACAGACCGTCCGACTGACAAACCCACAGACTGATTGACCCACACGCTGACTGACAGAACCACTGACCCACAGACCGACCACACAAAGCCACCCACCCACCTCCCCCCGCTTCTAACCTGAACCACGGAAGAAGTGATGGCGTGGGGTGGGGCGCTCCTGCATGGCGGCCCCTAGTGGCTGGCGGGAGTCGATGTCCACTCCAACGAAGGCCGTGTAGGGGGACACGATGCCCGACTCCACGCTCAGCGCCACCACTCGCTCCCGGCGAGCCTTGGCCTCCTCCTCCTCATTATTCTTATTCCGCTGCTCCGTATCGCCCGGCGCCGGCGTAGAGTCGGGGGCGTTGGGACCCGACACGAGGTGGCGGATCATCGCCTTGGCTGCGAGCCAGTGCAGGGTGGTGCTGGGAGAGGTCACGGTGGAGGGGGGTTGTAGAGGCTCACTCTTGAGCCTGAGAACCGCTCGCTGAGAGTCTCACTCTCTGGGTCTGCCTGAGCTGCTGCTGCTGCTGCTCCTTGGTCCTGTCATGTTGCTGGGTTCCCCTAACCAGCTTCATCAAGTGAATGGTTTCAGTACGATGATTGATGAGCTTGAAAAGTCAACATCATCATCTAATCTTCTTTGGTTCTTTCGGTAAAGTCACGTAGAATGAGAATAAAATAATAAATTGATGAAATAAAATAACGCAATGATATTCTCACGACGTTTCTTTATTTTATTCTCATTCTACCTGGTGACTTTACCGAAAGAACCAAAGAAGATGAATCCTTGCAGTCACGAACGCTTTAAATCGAAATCATCATCTAATGTCTGGGAACCTCGGGGTAATTTTTTTATCCCGCCTTGAACTTTTGAGTGTCATGCAAGGAATGTGACTTAAGGTCTCCTCCTTCTGTCACCTGTTACGAGTGAGAGTCTCATTCTCCCTGAGTCTCACTGCAGACTCTGGCCCTGGGCCCGTTCTCCTCCTGGAGTCTCACTCCAGACTCTGACCCTGAGACCATGATTGAAAGCGATGGCACTTAGATTAAATAGTGTGGAATGCAGCAACTGAGAGCAGAGTGTAAAGGGAGTTGAAGCTCCGAGTTGGGTTTTTGTGAGACCAGGTGAGAAATAACGAGATCAGGGATGAGTCTCATTCACATGAGTGGGTGAGAATGAGTGGGTGGGTGAATGAGCGGGTGAGTAGGTGATCGATCAGGTGGGTGAATGAGTGAGTGGGTGAATGAGCAGGTGGGTCAATGAGCAGATTTGTGAATGAGTGGGTGGGTGAATGAGTGGATGAATCAGTGGGTGGATGAACTAGATCATGGTGAAATTAGCATGTGGATGAACGAGCGGGTAGGTGAATGAGGAGCTCGGTTAATTAATGGGTGAATGAGTGGGTGAGTGAATAAGTAGGTGGGTGAATAAGCGGGTGAGTGAATGAGTGGTTGGGTGAAGTAAGGAGTGGGTGAACGAGCAGGAGGTTGAATCAGTGGGTAGGTGAAGGAGCGGGTGGTTGAATGAACGGGTCAGTGAATGAGTGGGAAGGTTGAATCAGCAGGTGGGTGAACGAGTGGATGGGTGAACGATCGGATGGGTGAATAAGTGGGTGAGTGAACAAGTGGGTGACTGAGGGGGGCTACATACCGGGACTCGTCAGGGTTGGCGGTCTGGCTGGTGATGGGAACCCGGTTCTCCACGGACTCCCCATTTAGGGAGTACTTGAGCACTGCCTCGCCCTGCCATGGGGCAGCCGGAGCCTGTAGAGATGAGAGGCCCAGTCTGGGAGACTGAACGTGAGACTCAGTCCCTCCCTGAGTCTCACTCTGACCCAGAGATCCAGTCACCCCGAGTCTCACTCTGACCCAGTGACCCGGTCACCCCGAGTCTCACTCTGACCCAGAGACCCAGTCACCCCGAGTCTCACTCTGACCCAGAGACCCGGTCACCCCGAGTCTCACTCTGACCCAGAGATCCGGTCACCCCGAGTCTCACTCTGACCCAGTGACCCGGTCACCCCGAGTCTCACTCTGACCCAGAGACCCGGTCACCCTGAGTCTCACTCTGACCCAGAGACCCAGTCACCCCGAGTCTCACCCTGACCCACAGACCCGGTCACCCCGAGTCTCACTCTGACCCAGAGACCCGGTCACCCCGAGTCTCACTCTGACCCAGAGACCCGGTCACCCCGAGTCTCACTCTGACCCAGAGACCCGGTCACCCCGAGTCTCACTCTGACCCAGAGACCCGGTCACCCCGAGTCTCACCCTGACCCACAGACCCGGTCACCCCGAGTCTCACTCTGACCCAGAGACACGGTCACCCCGAGTCTCACCCTGACCCACAGACCCGGTCACCCCGAGTCTCACTCTGACCCAGTGACCCGGTCACCCCGAGTCTCACTCTGACCCAGAGACCCGGTCACCCCGAGTCTCACTCTGACCCACAGACCCGGTCACCCCGAGTCTCACTCTGACCCAGAGACCAGGTCACCCCGAGTCTCACTCTGACCCAGAGACCCGGTCACCCCGAGTCTCACTCTGACCCAGAGACCCGGTCACCCCGAGTCTCACTCTGACCCTGAGACCCGGTCACCCCGAGTCTCACTCTGACCCAGAGACCCGGTCACCCCGAGTCTCACCCTGACCCACAGACCCGGTCACCCCGAGTCTCACTCTGACCCAGAGACCCGGTCACCCCGAGTCTCACCCTGACCCACAGACCCGGTCACCCCGAGTCTCACTCTGACCCAGTGACCCGGTCACCCCGAGTCTCACTCTGACCCAGAGACCCGGTCACCCCGAGTCTCACTCTGACCCACAGACCCGGTCACCCCGAGTCTCACTCTGACCCAGAGACCAGGTCACCCCGAGTCTCACTCTGACCCAGAGACCCGGTCACCCCGAGTCTCACTCTGACCCTGAGACCCGGACACCCCGAGTCTCACCCTGACCCACAGACCCGGTCACCCCGAGTCTCACTCTGACCCTGAGACCCGGTCACCCGGAGTCTCACTCTGACCCAGAGACCCGGTCACCCCGAGTCTCACTCTGACCCAGAGACCAAGGTCACCCCGAGTCTCACTCCAGACTCTGACCCTGGGACCCGGTCTTCCCGACGCTCAATTAGACTTGTCCCCATGTCTCGCCGTGTCTAAGCAGGTCCCCGTGTCCCCGCGTGTTGCGTGCGGTCTCACGGTGCCAGCGAGCTGTGCGTAGAGGATGGTTCGCTCGCCCAGGAAGATGCTGCGTGGCACCTCGGGCACCACGACGGCCGACAGGCCCGGTGGGAGGCTCCAAGAGAGTGACACGGAGGTCAGCGTGGGCTGGAGGGCGCACTTCAGGGCCTTCAGCACCTGGGGTGGTGGGCACGGAGATGCAGACAGAGTGAGGGAGACAGAGGGGGGGAGGGAGATGGAAAGACAAGTAAAGGGGTGAGGGAGGAAGGGAGGCAGGGATGGAGGCAGGGAGGGAGATGCAGAGAGATAGGACGGGAGATGGAGAGACAAGTAGAGTGAGAAGGGGAGATGGACCGAGTGGTGGGGAGATGGAGAGAGAGAGGGAGATGGAGGGAGGGAGATGGAGGGAGGGAGATTGAGAGAGAGGGAGATGGAGGGAGGGAGATGGAGGGAGGGAGATTGAGAGAGAGGGAGATGGAGGGAGGGAGATGGAGGGAGATGGAGGGAGGGAGATGGAGGGAGGGAGATGGAGGGAGGGAGATTGAGAGAGAGGGAGATTGAGGGAGAGGGAGATGGAGAGAGAGGGAGATGGAGAGAGAGGGAGATGGAGGGAGAGGGAGATTGAGAGAGAGATGGACAGCGCGAGTGAGAGGGATAGAGAGGTGGGAAGAGAGAGTGAGAGGGAACGACAGGTAGAGGCAGAGGGGGCGGGGGGGAGAAGAAGGGAGAGCGAGAGAGAGGGAGGGAGACAGGGAGGTTCAGAAAATGGTCACTGGTGTTGACCGTGAGCGGGAACCGAATGAACTGGTCCTGGGTCTCCCCTAGGTCGAAAGACTGAGAGACACAGAGACACAGGGAGAGAGAGAAAGACAGAGACAGAGAGGGATACAGAGACACAGCGACAGAGACACAGAGACAAGACAGATTGATACAAAGACAGAGAAACACGGAGAGAGGCAGACATGGAGAGAGACAGAGAAAGAAAGAGACAGAGAGAGACGGAGAAAGAGACAGAGAGACTTAGTGACAAAGAGACAGATACAGAGAGCGACAGACAGAGAGAGACACAGCGATAGACAAAGAAAGACAGAGACACAGAGAAAAACAGAGATACAAAGAAAGACAAATACACAGAGTGACAGAGAGACAGAGAGATATCAAGACAGAGGGATACAGCGACAGACAGCCAGAGAGAGAAAGAGACACAGGAACAGACAGAGACAGAGAGAGACGCAGATATACTGATACAAAGACAGAGAGACACAGAGACAGAGAGACACAGAGACAGACAGCCAGAGAGACAGAGAGAGACGCCCAGTCCCCGGGCGTCTGAGCGGCACTGTCTCAGCTGCGGGGTCTCCGTGTTGGCAGTTTTCAGTCTGAGCGGACCTAGGGGCACACGGCACTCACCTTGCCCTGCAGACGCTCCTTGCCGGTGATGAACTCGGCCGTCCCTCCACCGCTGGCGGCGATCCCCTTGATCAGCTCCGTGGAGGCACCGTCACCGATTCCAAAGGAGAAGCAGCTGCAGACACAGAGACACACAGAGACACACAGAGACACACAGAGACAAAGATCCCCCTTATAGCCTTAACAGACTGCAGGGGCAAGTGCTGTTAGCGAGCACCTATTAAGACCGGAACGGTACACGAGGGGGTGGGTGGCCAGCACCAGGCCCGACCGCCTTTGTCTCCCTAGTGGCGATATTTACACACCGCACCAGGTACTCATTTGAGGCTGAGTCGACCTAGGGGAGGCCCGGGACCGGTTCAGATAATCGTCACTGGTGTTGGCCGTGAGCGGGAATCGAACCCGGGTCGCCAGGTTCATAGCGCAGCGCGCTAACCGCTACACTGTCGCTCCCCACACACACGCACACAGACACACGGACACACATATACACAACAACAACCGCCATTCGCCACTAAGTGGCGGTGACGTCACCACGACGCTTGTGCCAGGCTATGTGCACGTTGAGGCCACGGGAAGTGTTGAACGCCCGCTGGCAGGAGGTCACGGGGCAGACCCAGGTGCCACGGGTCGACTGACTGAGACGACTGGCCGATGCACCACCTGTGCCCCCTACTGTGCCAACCTGCTGTGCTTTAGCCACTCGGCGCTCTGCTCGTTGTTGTGAGCGTCGCTCCTCCGCCCTCCGTTGTTGTTGGAGGACGACTGCCGCCAACTGCCCAGTAGCGTCCTTCACGAGCCTCCTCCACAGAGGCCGATCTTGACACCGCTGGTACCAGTCATCGGCAAGTCCACTCAGCTCCACGTCCTCCTGTACCACATCACTCCATCTCTTCTCGAGCCCGTGCCGCGCCTGTTTAGCCCCCTCAATCCGGCCAAACAAAAGCTGTTTCGGCATGCGGTGGCTGGGCATGCAGGCTACATGACCCAGCCAACGCAGCCTTGCCTGCCGGAGGAGCTCACCGATGGAAATTTAGATAGATCCTTTATTGTCATTGTCACCAGTACAACGAAATTTTAAATGCTCACCAGTCAGTGTATCATTCATAAATTTAAATAAATAAAACAATAAATAAAAATATAATATAATAAAAAAAATTATATATAAAAACTGCCCAAGTATACCCACATACCCACATTTTGTCATTGCACATCCCTATTTTACAGTCAATTGTAAACAGTGTTACTTAATAATTAATTAGCAGTAGTGAGTGTGGTCATTGCTGTAGGATAAACGCAGTGTTTGAATCTGTTTGTCCTTGCTTTGACTGATCTGAATCGTCTGCCTGATGGCAACAGCTCAAACAGAGAGTGTCCAGGGTGAGAAGAGTCCTTTATAATGTCGTGCGCTCTTTTGATGCAACGGGAGCTGTGTAGTTCTTCCAGTGTGGGGAGAGGGCATCCGGCGATTTTTTGGGCCGTGTTGATGACCCTCTGCAGTGCTTTCCTCTGAGCCACTGTGCAGCTGGTGTACCAAACACAGATGCAGTATGTAAGAATGCTCTCGATGGAAGCTTGGTAGAAGGACACCAGCGGTTTCTGCGTGATGTTATTCTTCCTGAGTATTCTCAGGAAGTAAAGTCTCTGCTGGGCCTTTTTCAGTAGCTCGGAGGTGTTGGCGCTCCAGGTCAGGCCCTCCCCAATGTGGCACTCCCAGGAAGCGGAAGTCTGCCACCCTCTCCACACAGTCCCCGTTGGTGGTTAGTGGTGGAGTGTCCGTTTTCTTTCTCCTGTAGTCTATTATGAGCTCCTTGGTCTTTGCGGTGTTAAGGAGCAGGTTGTTGCTCCTGCACCTTGCTGTCAGCCGCTCCACCTCGTCCCTGTAGGAAGACTCATCCCCCCCCCCCAGAGATGAACCCCACCACTGTGGTGTCATCAGCAAACGTCACAATGGTGTTGCTATGGTGGACGGGGGCACAGTCATGTGTGTAGAGGGAGTAGAGCAGGGGGCTCAGTACACAGCCCTGGGGGGAGCCAGTACTGAGGCTCAGGGCCGTGGATGTACGACGGCCCACTCTGACCCTCTGTCTGCGGCCCGAGAGGAAGCTATGTATCCACATGCAGGTGGAATGTGGAAGCCCCAGGTCGCCCAGTTTTACCACCAGTTTGTGTGGCAGGATGGTGTTGAACGCAGAACTGAAATCCATGAAGAGCATCCGCACACAGCTCCCCTGCTGCTCCAGGTGTGACAGTGCAGCACGTAGTGCTGTGGCCACGGCGTCCTCCGTGAATCGGTTCGCTCTGTAGGCAAACTGGCGGGGGTCAAGGCTTCGGGGAAATGTTGCAATGATGTGACTCCGGACAAAGTTTTTCAAAGCACTTCATCACCACTGGCGTCAGTGCTACTGGCCGGTAGTTGTTGAGGCTGGAAATGTGGGGGGGTTTTTTCGGCAGGGGGACTATGGTGGTGGACTTTAGGCAGGGTGGTACCGTGGACTGTTCCAGAGACAGGTTGAAAATCCTTGTGAAGACTCCAGGCAGCTCGTCAGCACAGTCCATCAGCACACGTCCCGGGACGCCGTCAGGTCCCGCAGCCTTCCTCGTGTTGATGGCCCACAGCGTGAGCCTCACCTCGTGCTCCTCTACGTTGAGGTTCCAGCTGCCGTGGACCGTGGGGGTTTGGTGATGCTGTCCCTGGTGGTGTCACCTCAAAGCGGGCAAAGGAGAGGTTCAACTCCTCTGCCAGAGCGGTGTCACCATCAGCAGCTCCGAGGTTGGCCCTGTAGTTGGTGAGGTGCTGAACTCCCTGCCACACCTGCCTGCTGTCGTTACTGTCCAGGCGTTCCTCAATCCTCCTCCTGTAGTCTGCTTTGGCCTCACGGATGCCTCTCTTCAGGTTAGCTCGGGCTGTGCTGTAGAGAGCTTTATCTCGAGATTTGAAGGCGATGTTCCTCTCCTTCAGCAGCTGCTGGACCTCCCGGGTCATCCAGGGCTTCTGGTTGGGGTAGACCCGAATGCGTTTGTCCACAGTGACAGTGTCTATGCAGTTTTTAATGTAGCACAATACACTGTCTGTGAACACCTCCAGGTCCTGATGTTCGAATAGCCCCCAATTGATCCTATCAAAGCAGTCCTGCAGCTGTTGGGTGGTACCCTCAGGCCAGGTGGTGACAGTTTTTGTGATGGTTGGAGCCGTTTTCTTGATGGGGGCGTATACAGAGATCAAAAGCAGGGGACAAATGGTCAGACTGGCCCAGGTGTGGTAGTGGTCTAGCCCTGTAGCCTAGTTTGATGTTGGTGTAGACCTTGTCCAGAGTCTGAGTTCCCCTAGTAGCACACTTAACATGCTGGTGGGATTTAGGGAGCGCTGCCTTTAAGTCTGCATGGTTGAAATCCCCTGCTATAACCTGCACAGCGTCAGGATACTTGCTCTGCTGAATGCTAATGCTGCCATGTAAAAGTCCAATAGCTGAGTTAGCATTGGCATCCGGTGGGATGTAAACAGAGGTTATCATGACCACAGTAAACTCTCTTGGGAGGTAAATGGGCCTACATTTAACAGTCACATACTCCAGATCTGGTGAGCAGTGGTTGTCTACAGTCACTGTGTTAGTACACCAGCTGTTATTCACGCACACACAGAGCTCCCCTCCTCTGCTCTTACCGGAGACAACTGTTCTGTCATGGCGCTGTGCTGTATAGCCTTCTAGCTCAATGGCTGTAGTCTGTAGCCTCAGTTCATCCATTTTGTTCGCGAGGGATCTGGCATTCGTGAGAAATAGGCTGGGTAGCGGTGGTTTGAGTGGCTGCCTCCGTAGCCTGGCTAGCGCACCGGCCCTGCAGCCTCGCTTCTGCCTTCTCTCTCTACGCCACCTTCGCCTCCTCCCTGCCGGGATGATGATCCACGGAGAGCCGGGGCTCCTCGCTAACTCCACCGGAATCTTGTGAAGACGGAGAAACTCGCTTGTAACACTCCGTTCGTAACATAGTCCGATCTTAAGGAGATCGTGCCGGCTAAAGGTGTTACTCGCCCGACAAAATGTACACAAAACAAGACATAATGCGTACATAAACAACCATACAAGGCACCGACCGGGTAGATACTGAGCTGCTGCAGCTGTGTGCGCCGCCATCTTCCACATTCGATTAAGTAGAAGTCCAGATATTTCGAAGATTTGTGAGCTCCTCACACAATCCAGCCTGGTTAAACCCAGGATGGATCGTTGGCAGGCCAGCCTAAATGTTTCCAATCGATGAAGATGTTCCATTAGAGGAGTCCACGTTTTGCAAACATAGAGAAGGGAGGGCATGACCTTAGCTGAGAAGACCCCAAACTTCTGGCGCGGTAAACCAAGTAGCTTCCACACAGCGTTATGCAGCTGATGAAATTATATTGTCACTTGGCTGATTCAGCTTGAGACCTCTGCTGTCAAGCTGGAGCCGGTCATGAGCACCCTGTCCAGGTATGGAAAACTCTCCACTCTGTCCACATCACCAATTGGGAGTTTTGGGGGTGGAGTGTTTGATGGCACAAAATAACCAGGCATGTGCTTAGTTTTGTTGTTGCTGATGGTAAGGTTCCACCTTTTAGTGGCCCGCTCCAGGTTCAGCAGCAGCGCCTCTAACTCCTCCTCTAAGTGAGCAGCAATCACCAGATCATCAGCATACATAACGTGGTTGACCAATAGGGAGCCATCTATTAACCGCACCAGGGCATCGATCAGCCATCAAAGACTTCACTAACTACGTGGTTGGAATAGATGTAAACTAATGTGAGAGTCAAATGACATCTCTGTCGCACCCCAAGGTGAACAGGGAATGGGTCCGACTCCGAGGCCTGCCCACCATCATGAAGGTCCTTAATTATTGTGAGCACAGAGTCAGGGACTCTGAAAGCAAAAAGAACAACCCAGAGCCCAGGCCTACTGATGGTATCATAGGCCTTTACCAGGTCAATAAATTTGAGATGAATGTCCTGTTGGAATTACCTACACCTCTGCTGTAGCAGACAGACAGAAAATATGGCATCTGTGCTGGAACACCCTGGCCTGAAACCACATTGGGGCTCTGCAAGCCTCTCCTCAGCGTGCCTGGCAAGGCGATGTTGAATAATCATTGCCAGGACCTTTCCCAGTACACTGAGGAGGGAGATGTCCTTGTAGTTGTTACAGGCTGTGCGGTCCCCCTTCTAAAAGAGGGGGGCCATCAGGGCATCCTTCCATTCCTGCGGAACCTGTTCAGTGGTCCAGACTGTTATTATGATGTCATGTAGAGCAGAGATTATCTCTGCTTGCAGCATTTCCTGGTCTAAGACTCTAGGTTCTCTTCTGTACTTCCTCAATAGATGGCACTTGAAGCAGTCACTCACAGCGGGTGACTACTTCTTCCAATATTTGAGTTTGCCTCATGATGTTTTCCAGGCTGAGGGATTTCCCCTTCCCCCAAGACTTACAGAAATGCTCAGAAAATCTGCAAACATATAGCTGGGGGTCAGAGATTTGATCACCGTTATTTCCCATAATGATAGTGATAGGTGTGGTGCTGCCAGTTACTTTATTGATGGAGTTAAAGAGTGATTTGTGATCACGGGGTATTGAGGCAGACTCCATCTCCTCAGTAACCTATGACCACCACCGATCCTTGCAGCGCCTCATGGCTATTTCGAAACTCCGAGCGAAGACTGCAGTAAGCCCACTCATTCTCTGATGTGGGATGCTGGATACGGTGGAAATGGGCCTGTCGCGTTTTCTGAGCCAGCAAGAACATCTCCTTTGTCAGCCAGGGTCTCTGTGGAGATTTGGACCGTGTACCAAAGCAGCTATTGCAGCTTTATGAGCCACGGGTCCTAAACCTCGCCAATTTCTCCTCAAGCATTAGGAGGCAGGGGGGAACGATGCCAACCCCAGCTGCAAGCGCTAAATTCTCACTTGCAACTTTCATCAGCTAGCTGAAACCAGGCCACTGTGGTTTTGAATGGGGTCCTGGGTGTACACCCACCACCGGAGTAGAAGAATGGCAGGCGCATCTTACAGATGACAAGCCGATGGTCAGTTGGGCAGATCAGCTCGATGGTAGGTGCTAGTGTCAAGGATATCCAGTAGATGTGTTTGGTTACACCTGGCGTGCATCCGTGATGCTGACAGATGCACCCATGCTCGAACAGCGTGTTGGTAATTATAAGCACATGGGTTGTACAGGAGTCTAGTAGCCTACTATTGTTATGGAGCTGATCTGGCCCATGCCTTCAAATCACTCCAGCCAAGTTGTCAGCATCATGACCGACTCGGGAATTAAAGTCACCCAACAGGATGACTCTATCCTGAGGGGCCACTTTAGCTAGCACCTGTGACAGGAGCTCATAGAAGGCATCTGACTCATCAGCCTTGCCTGCATCCCTCGACGGATGTTCGTCTTCGGCGGGGGTATAAGTAACCACGACCACCACTCCTCGTCTCCGGTTGATGGAAGGCGTGCCCAAAGTAGCCTGGGGCTTAGAGCATCCCACACCTCACCACCACGCTCCCACGTCCCCTTGATTATTTTGTTCAGAAGAAGAGCCACACCCTGTTGTTTGGCAGTCTCCTGCCCCGAGTAGAGGACTGTCCACCCCTAATGGTGGCAGGCGCCAGAACCGGTCCACCATACCTCCTGAATACCGCAGAGATCCAGGCGGTAGTGGTCCAACTCCCGCTAGAGGAGTGGCAGCCTCTCCTCCGCAGTGAGCGTTCGAACATTCCACGTGGCCACCCGCAGTGGCTTTTTGCTGTTTCTGGAGGAACCCCGAGGGTAAGGTTTCAGTTTCCTGGCTCCACCAAATGGGGTTTGGCCAGGAGACGTCATAGACGCCTGTCCCCCGGTGCACAAGCTTAGCTAGATATTTTTTGTTCGTAGTGTCATGCTAATCTGTTTGAAGGTGGAGGGGTTACCAGCCCCTCGTACCCGTTCAGAGGCCCTCTTGGCTGCTGTGGTGGCTACAAATGCCATGAGGGGAATTAGTCCTCCCCCCATGGCACTGCTCACAGCGTTCCTGTCCGGCACCACCGAGGAGGTAGGGGGTTGTTTTGCCGGATACAGAAGCACACACACAGATGCACACACACAGAAACACACACAAAGATCCACACACAAATCTCCCATGTAGCCTCTAACAGACCGTAGGGGCAATTGCTGTTAGCGAGCACCTATAAACACAGAGGCAAATATCACCCATGTAGCCTCTAACAGACTGTTGGGGCAAGTGCTGTTAGTAGAGGGCAGTAGCCCCGATGAAGGCTGGCACTGTGGGACACCAGGAGGTGAGTGAGTGGACGAGTGAGTGAGTAGCTGCATGAGTAGCTGAGTGAGTTAACTAGTGAGTGAGTAGCTGAGTGAGTGGCTGAGTAAGTGAAAAGCTGAGTGAGTGAACTAAATAGTAAGTAGCTGAGTGAGTGAGTAGCTGAGTAAGTGAGGTGCTGAGCGAATTAACTAGTGAGTGAGTGAACCATTGAGCTAACTAGTGAGTGAACTAGTTGGTCAGTGAACTAGTGAGTGAACTAGTGAGTTAACTATTGAGTGAGTTAACTAGTGAGTGAGTTAACTAGTGAGTGAACGAGTGAGTTAGCTTTTGAGTGAGTTGACTAGTGAGCGAACCAGAGAGTGAACTAGTGAGTAGTAAGTCTAACCGATGGTTGCTTGCGTTCTCCTTCACCAGGGTGATGACATCACGGGTGTTGGACACTTCCCCATCGGTCAGCACCATCAACTATGACATCACAACATCACAACACCATTAACTATGAAATCACATCATCACAACACCATGAACTATGACATCATAACACCGTCAACTATGACATTACATCGTCAAAGCAACATAAACTATTACATCACAACACCGTCAACTATAACAGTACAACCTCCCTACTATACACTACACTGCTATACAGTACACTACTATACACAACACTATGATACAATACTATACGCTAATATACACTACACACTACTATACACTCCCTACTGCTATACACTACACTACTATATAATACACTACTATACACTGCACCACTATACACTGCACTATACACTACACTATGTAACACTACACTATTATACACTACTTCACACGATATACTACTATACACTGTCACTACTATACAATACTATAGACTAATCACTACTCGGCACTATACACGACTTTACACTACACTACCATACACTACACAATTATAAACTACTAAACACTATGATACACGATACACTGCGATACACTACTATACACTACGATACACTATACACTACTATACACTACACACTACTATACACAACACTGCTTTACACTGCACTACTATAAACTACACAAATATACACTACACACGCCACGAAGGGACGTGGGTGGGGAGGGGAGGGCTAAGTTAAGCCGCCTTTTGTTATGCTGTTATGCTGTTGGCAGAACGAATTCTTCGGCAGTGGCTGATCATTGTCTCAACACAGCAGGTTATCATGACATTGTTTTCTCCGATATCAAAGTACTACGCAAACCTCCCAGTTAATTACCAAAGATTTCTCCATGAAGCCATCCAAATATAAAACAAACATAGACACAACTTCAACCGAGAGGATGGCTTTAAATTGAGCAACCATTGGAAAGATGTCATCAACCAAGTCAAACTTTAGCTGCCTTATAATTGTACAGCCGTTTCCGTTTCTACCAGTGGGTTGTACTCGCTCTCGTGCAGCGCGCCATCGCTCCCCCCGAACCCCCTGCAGGATAACAAAAGGCGGCTTAACTTAGCCCCTCCCCCTCCCCACCTACGTCCCTTCCTGGCTCCTCCCCCCCCCCCCCCTTAACCTGTGTATATAATCCCGGGTGTCTCAGAGCTCCTCACTTGATACAGATATTCTGCTGTGACTGTTCCACCTGAAGACGGAAGCTTGTGTTGCCTCCGGAACGTCGTGATTTAATTTAGTTGTTTTCATTTATTTTATTTTACCTACTATACACGACACTAGTATACACTACTATACACGATATACTACTATACACTACACTAGTATACACTACACTATACACTACACTACTATACACTACACTAGTATACACTACACTATACACTACACTACTATACACTACACTAGTATACACTACTATACACTACACTACTATACACTACACTAGTATACACTACTATACACGATATACTACTATACACTACACTAGTATACACTATACACTACACTACTATACACTACACTAGTATACACTACACTATACACGATATACTACTATACACTACACTAGTATACACTACTATACACGATATACTACTATACACTACACTAGTATACACTACACTATACACTACACTACTATACACTACACTAGTATACACTACTATACACTACACTACTATACACTACACTAGTATACACTACACTATACACTACACTACTATACACTACACTAGTATACACTACACTATACACGATATACTACTATACACTACACTAGTATACACTACTATACACGATATACTACTATACACTACACTAGTATACACTACTATACACTACACTACTAAACACTACACTACTATACACTACACTAGTATACACTACTATACACTACACTACTATACACTACACTAGTATACACTACTATACACGATATACTACTATACACTACACTAGTATACACTACTATACACGATATACTACTATACACTACACTAGTATACACTACTATACACGATATACTACTATACACTACACTAGTATACACTACTATACACGATATACTACTATACACTACACTAGTATACACTACTATACACGATATACTACTATACACTACACTAGTATACACTACACTATACACGATATACTACTATACACTACACTAGTATACACTACTATACACTACACTAGTGTGTAGAAGGGCTTGTTGCTGGCAGTGAAGGGTATCTGCAGTTGCAGCAGCCCTGACTGACATCAGGTCACGTGATAGACCAGAGAGAGGGATGTAGGGGAAAGGTTACAGAAGGGCCACGTGAGGGCAGCGCAGGAACCCGCTGGTAGGTTCTAGAAAGGGGGCGTGGCCGGGGCGGAGCGAGGCCACGCTGGGAGCATAAAAAGTGACCCCGAACGGGAGGTCGGCGCTGGCGTTTGGAGGGATCCGGTCGTGCTGCTGGAGTCTTTGTGGCCGTCTCCGTCATCACCATCTTGGTGCCGTCAGTCAAGCAGTCTGCCAGCTGTCCTGACTAGGAGCTGTAAAGGCTGTTAGTAAAGAGAGTGCCTCCTACTCTTAGTGTCTCTGAGTCAGTCACTACACTAGTATGCACTACTATACACTACTGTACACTAGTCACTACTATACACTATTCACTACTATACACTACTATGCACTATTCACTACCATACACTACTATATACTATACACCACTTCACATTACTTTACACTCTACACTACTAAACACTACACTGCTATATACTACACTAGTATACACTACACTACTACACACTACACTATACACGACACTACTAGACATTACACTACCATAAACTACTATACACAGCACTACTATACACTGTACTACTATACACTACTATATGCTGTGCTCAACTTGGTGGAAACAATCGGGGTTAAATTAGATACTCAACTAAGCGCTAAACCACTGAGGCCGAAGACAACCATAGCCGTTACCAGCACGGCGGTCGTTACACTCGGACTGTAAGCACGTTCGGATATATAAAGCTCAACTCACCTGAACAATGGATCTCTCCAAAGAGCTTCTTTGCACGACTCAACATTAGGCCACTCGAAGACACTGAAACTACTCCACCACCCCACTTGCTCTGGATCACAATGGACCGGCCGAAGCAAGGGGTGGTATCGGGCAGGACCGCGCCACTCGCCTGCCGGGGGTGTTCCGGCCGGCACGCCGAGCGGTAGATGGCCTCCAGAGGCTCCAGGATCTCGGTGCCCCTCAAGTCGGCGCTCATCTCCTTGACGAGCTTCAGCGCCTCCGCCATGCTCGCCTGTGAATACTTGCGGCTCTTCCTGGGCGGGGAGGGGAGGGGGGCGGTACAGAAAGCGGGATAGAGACGTCTGCTCATCACTGTGGCAAGTACAGTCTCCACTGCCTCCCTCTCTCTCCACTCCATCCCCCATTTACTCCCTCCCCCCTCCACTCGCTCTCTCATTCCCTCCCTCCACTCCCTGCCACCTCCACTCCCTCCCTCTCCATCGCACCTCCACTCCCTTCCACATCTCTCCGCTCCTTCCTCCTCCCTCCACGCCCTCCCAAACCTCCATTCCCTCCTCCACTCCGTCCACTTCCTCCCACCTCTCCTAGGGGTTGGGTGCTTGGGGCTGGGGGTGGCTCACGGGAAGAAGCTGTTGTAGCTGCTTCCGAATGCGTAGACGTTGAAGAAGCAGCCGAGAGGCAGACTCTTCAGCAGCAACATCAGCGTCTCCTGCATGGGGGAAGCATGACATTGACATGGGGGAAGCATCATGTTAACATTCATACGCACAGACCCACAGACTCGCCACACAGAGACCCACAGACTCACCATACAGACACCCACAGACTCATTACACAGACACACACACACAAATGGTCCCACAGCAGCGAGCCCACCTTGGCGCTGTGGATACGAGTCTCCCTCCCTCCTCTGCCGTCATTGACCATGGGGAATTCCATGCTGCCGGAGCAGTCCACCAGGAAGATGAACTCCCCCTTTTGAGTCAACGCCTTCGCCAGGGTGGTCGTCTTCCCTCGCGCCCCCTTGGCGGACTTTGTCTTTCCCGTGCCGAGAAAGAAGTTCAGCATGGCCACTGTGTCACTCATCAGAGTGGAGGCTGGGAGGGAGGAGGAGTAGGATGATGAGGAGGGGGTAGGATGAGGGGAGGAGGGGGGGAAGGGGGAGGGAAGGGGAGGGTGGAGAGAAGAGGATGGGGAGGGAGCGAAGGAGAGGCGGGGGCGGAGGATGGAGGGGGTCGCGTTTTTTTCAGAGCGTCTGCAAAATCGTGAAAACTTCAAACGTCCCATTGTGTTTTCCCTTACTCTTTTTGCGTCTCGCATTTGTGTAGCGTGAACGGTCTTCCATCGCACTACTCCTTGGTCATTTGCGGAGTGGGGTTTTGTCACCATCGGGTTCAATTTGTGCGCGTTGTATGAGGAATGCGGCGGTAGGCGGTAGACGCTCACCGAACGCCACCGGCATCTTCAGGGCTCTGCTTTCTGTCAGGCTGTGGCTGGTGTTCCGCCACGCCCAGCTCACCAGGTATTCCGGTGCCTTCCTGGAGCAGTGGGTGGCAGAGGATGCTGTGTTGCTTCGTACTGCTGGTTATGGTGGACTGAGCTGGGCCAACTCCTTGCGGCAGAAACTCGCTGTTTATAGATGTATCGCCCGCTCCTTTTTCTATCATGGGCACATTCATTTTATTTGGTGTAGGAGGTCATGGGTTCGATCCTGACCCGGGCGAGACATTAACTACCTCGCCTAGCCTGTAGGAGGTCGTGGGTTCTATCCCGACCCTGATGATATGTTGACTACCTCGACTGGTACGCGAGGGGGTCGTGGGTTCGATCGTGAACCTGACGATGGCGCTTGTAAATTTAGTTTTTGCGTGTCTCTCTCTCTCTATCTCCTTGGTGAGATGTTAACAACCGCACCTGGTACGCAGGAGATCGTGGATTGGATCTTGTCCCTGATGAGATGTAAACTACCTTGCCTGGTGAACAGGAGGCTGTTGGTTCGATCCTGATTAGATGTTAACTACCTTGGCTGATATACAGGAGTTTGTAGGTTCGATCCTGACCCTGACGATGCCTGTTGCATATTTGGAGTTTGTGCGTCTCTCTCTCCCCGTGGTGAGATGTTAATTACCTTGCCTGATATGCAGGAGGTCGTGGGTTGTTGTGAGGGCTTAGATACAGCGACGATAGTGGGAGGGGTTATGAGGTGACCTGCAGCGGGATGAGTGACTGGGTGAGTGACTGGGTAAGTGAGTGAGTGTATGGGTGAGTGAGTAACTGGGTGAGTAAATTACTGCATGAGGAACAGGTGGGTGGGTGAGTGAGTGAATAAATAAGTGACTGGGTGGGTGAGTGAGTGACGAGGTAGGTGAGTGACTAAGTGGGTGAGTTAGTGAGTGAGTGAGTGAGTGACGAGGAGAGTTACATGTCAGTGAGTGACCAAAATAACTTAGTCATTGCTGTAGCATGTCAACCCAACTACATTACTCTGAATTATCTAGGTGAGCGAGTGTGTGAATGAGCGATTGGGCAGGTGAATGAATCACTGGGTGACTAGGTGGCTTATTGACTGACACTTCACGTGGCCTGGCACAATTGACGTGGTTACGTCACCACCACTTAGTGAATAGCGGTTGTTGTGTTTCTGTGTGTGTGTGTCTGTGTGTTTGTGTCTCTGTGTGTATCTGTGTATTTCTGTGTGTGTATCTGCGTGTGCATCTCTGTGTGTGTCTCTGTGTGTGTGTGTCTGTCTGTCTGGCAAAACAACCCCCTACCTCCTTGTGGTGCCGGACGGGCAAAGCTGACGTGGACAGTGCTGTGGGGATGGATGGCCAATTCCGATTGGCCTTTCCCCACATGGCGTCTTTGACAACCACAGTGGCTAAATGGGGGCTCTGGACGGGTGCGAGGGTCTGGCAACCCCTCCACCTTCAATAATTTACCACTAAACCATGACTGAAATATCTAAATAATAAGCTTGTGCTGGACGCCTCGGGGGGACAGGCGTCTATGACGTTTCCTGGCCAAACCCCAATTGGCGGAGCCAGGTGATTGAAAAAAGACACTACGTGTGGCCACGAGGAATGTTCGAACGCTGACTGCAGAGGAGAGGCTGCTACTCCTATGTCGGGAGCTGGATTGGTACCGCCTGGATCTCTGTGGCATTCAGGAGGTCCGGTGGACCGGCTCTGGCTCCTGCAATCATGAGGGGTGGACAGTTCTCTACTCGGGGCAGGAGACTGCCAAACAACAGGGTGTGGCTCTTCTTCTGAACAAAAGAATGAAGGGGGCGTGGGAGCATGGCGGTGAGGTGTAGGAAGCTGTAAGCCCCAGGCTACTTTGGGCTCGCCTTCCCATCAACCGGAGGCGAGGAGTGGTGGTCGTGGTTACTTTTGCCCCCACTCAAGACGAACATCCGTGGAGGGATGCAGGCAAGGCCGATGAGACAGATGCCTTCTATGCCCTCCTGTCACAGGTGCTGGCAAAAGTGGCACCTCGGAATAGAGTCATCTTGTTGGGTGACTTCAATGCCCGAGTTGGTCATGATGCTGGCACCTGGTCTGGAGTGAATGGAAGGCATAGCTAATGAAAGTTGCAAGCGAGAATTTCATCATCGCTTGCGGCTGGGGTTGGCTTCGTCCCCCACTCCTCCTGATGTCGAGCGTAAATGGGCGAGGTTTAGGACTGTGACTCATGCAGCTGCAATGGCTGCATTGGGTAACCAGTCCAGACCTCCCCAGAGATTCTGGCTGACAGAGGAGGTGTTTAGGATGGTTGAGAAAAAGTGACAGGCCCATTCTCATCGGCTACAGCATCCCACATCAGAGAATGAGGAGGCTTACCGCAGCCTTCGCTCGGAGGTTCGGAGAGCCGTGAGGCACTGCAAGGATGGGTGGTGGTCGTGGGTTGCTGACGAGATAGAGTCTGCATCAATGGCCCGTGATCACAAATCCCTTTTTAACTCCATCAAAAAGTAACCTGCAGCGCCACACCTACTACCATCAATAGGGGAAAGAACGGTGTTCCAATCTCCGACCCCCAGCAACAGATTTGCAGATTTGCTGAGCATTTCTGTGAGGATCTGGGGGAAGGGGAATGCCTCAGCCTGGGAAACATCATGGGACAAAGTGGGGATGACCTTGCTGAGGCTGTGTGCCTCAATTATTTAAGGAGGCAGTCACCCCCTGTGAGTGGATGGCTGAGGTGCCATCCGTTGAGGAAGTACTGAAGGCGATCCAGAGTCTGAGACCAGAAAAGGCACCGGGCAGAGATGATCTCCCAAGCAAAATGCTAAGGGAGGGTGGCGTTTGTGCACAGACTGCCCTACATGACATCATAACAACATATTCTTATTCTTTGGTTCTTTCGGTAAAGTCACGTTGAATGAGAATAAAATAATAAATTGATAAAATAAAATAACACAATAATATTCTCACGACGTTTCGGCCACAACACAAGCGGCCTTCATCAGGTGAAGGCGACGAGACTGTCTGGAGGACAGCGCTGGAGTGAGAAAGCCACGCTGAGATCACGACCGTTAAGCTGTGTGAAAAGAAACAAAGCGCCTTGACAAAGAAATTAGCATAAAATTTAGCATTGAAATGGCTGAGTGATTAGCTTGTGACTGGTCACAGAAAAGGCTATGTTAAAGTTAAAGCAAACACATCTGCAAAGGCACTCCTTGACAAAGGAATTAGCATAGAATTTAGCATTGAAATAGCTAAGTTAAAGTATACACATCCGCAGAGGCACTCCTTGACAAAGGAATTAGCATAGAATTTAGCATTGAAATAGCTGAGTGATTAGCTTGTAACTGGTCACAGAAATAGCTATGTTAAAGTCAGAGCATATACATTCACCGAGGCACCTAGTACAAATCAAACAGGAGAATTTAGCATTGAAATAACTAGGCGAATTTAGCATTGAAATAACTGAGTGATTAGCTTGTGACTGGTTACAGAAATGGCTATGTTGAAGTTAAGGCCTACACATCTGAGCTATTCACAGTAACTGGGTATACAATACAATATATAATGAATATTATATAGTGAACCAATAAAAAATACTAAAATATTAATTACCTCAATGTTATCAATAAACTCTATATTCTCCAATCAGCTAAGCTACCAACAATAAGTCGATATATATCACAATGCTATTTGGCGAAAAATGGGTGGATTCTTACCCTCAACTTTAGCACCACGGATAGCTATGGGTCCTGTTCAGACGGACGAGTTCATCCATGGTCGGAACAGAGGAGGGGGAGAGAGACAGCTGCGAGGCGCTGTTATACTCCATGTTGTAAACCATACCATTAACCGTGTTGTGAGAGATATTAAGAGTCAATGCCAGCGAAAGAGCTGTGGTCTTAGAGTCGCGGCATTTTTTATTGGTTCACTATATAATATTCATTATATATTGTATTGTATACCCAGTTACTGTGAATAGCTCAGATGTGTAGGCCTTAACTTCAACATAGCCATTTCTGTGACCAGTCACAAGCTAATCACTCAGTTATTTCAATGCTAAATTCGCCTAGTTATTTCAATGCTAAATTCTCCTGTTTGATTTGTACTAGGTGCCTCGGTGAATGTATATGCTCTGACTTTAACATAGCTATTTCTGCGACCAGTTACAAGCTAATCACTCAGCTATTTCAATGCTAAATTCTATGCTAATTCCTTTGTCAAGGGGTGCCTTTGCGATGTGTATTCTTTAACTTTAACATAGCCTTTTCTGTGACCAGTCACAAGCTAATCACTCAGCCATTTCAATGCTAAATTATATGCTAATTCCTTTGTCAAGGCGCTTTGTTTCTTCTCACACAGCTTAAAGGTCGTGATCTCAGCATGGCTTTCTCACTCCAGCGCTGTCCTCCAGACAGTCTCGTCCCCTTCACCTGATGAAGGCCGCTTGTGTTGTGGCCGAAACGTCGTGAGAATATTATTGTGTTATTTTATTTTATCAATTTATTATTTTATTCTCATTCTACGTGACTTTACCGAAAGAACCAAAGAAGATGAATCCTTGCAGTCACGAAAGCTTCAAATCGAAATTTAATCGCCTCTACGGAGAGGGATTCCACACCACCTTAAGATCATTCAACAGACTCCGGGATAAGAAGGCTCAACTAATCGAGTCTCTCACCTTTCTGAAGAGATGCCACAACTCTAAGGTAATACCAACCGCATTTACACTAACCTCTGCTGTTGCAACTTCTCTCAATGCAAAACGAATTCTAGCTAGAACTAGCTTCGCTCTTATCTCGGAAAAAATCAGACTTACACGCACCGAACTCGATCAGTTAGACAAGACACTCTACAAATCACACTTAACATTGACAGCAACAATGTCTACATCGGATTGGGAACATGTGGACAATATGACTACCTCTTCGGCTGCCACTATGTCGACCAAATGTAGGGACAATTTGATTTCTAAATTCAATCACCTCTCCAGCAAAAAATCGGATCCACACACCGAAAAGATAGAGGTCAACAAAGTCGTAATTAATCACAGTAACAGTTCCATTTCTGATGGTCTGAAATCCGTTGAAGCTAAAGGTCTAAACTTTGCTGTCACACCGAGACACTTACTGGTTAATGATATCATTGCCCATGTCGACGTTGCACTCAAGGGCTTGAGTCACATCGCTGCAGACGTAGCAAGATCTGAAATCGCTGCAACCCTCAAAAACGCTAAGTTGCCACCCAGCAACATCAGCAAAGATGAACGTTTTGAATTATCTCAATTAAAAAAGAGAGATGATATTGTCGTCCTCTCAGCCGACAAGGGCAATGCCACTGTCATCATGGACAAAACAGAATATAACAACAAAATTAAAGAACTACTCAACGATGGCAACTATAAAAATAAAAAGAGATCCCACCAACAGCCTGGTTACCAAAACGAACAAAATCATCTCTGATTCAACAGCATTAATTGATGAGACCAAACAGTTATCGTTGAAACCCTCTGCTGCCAGACCACCAAGATTATATGGCCTTCCAAAGATACACAAAGAAGATACACCCCTTCGTCTCATCGTCTCTACTATCAACTCCCCCACCTATAAACTGGCACGTTTTCTTGCTGATATACTGCGACCTTTCACTGGAAAAAACACCTCTGCAGTACTAAATTCTACTCACCTGGTATCGACAATCAAAGGCATTTCCCTGTCCCCAGACGACCTGCTTGTCAGTTTTGATGTGGTGTCCTTGTTCACCAAAGTCCCGGTACCTGACACCATCGCTATCATTGAAGACCTGGTTCATCAAGGACTGCATACTGATGTACCCCCCCTGGTGAGACATTGCTTAACCAACACATACTTCACCTGGAATGGAACTTTCTACAAACAAACTGAGGGCACCCCAATGGGCTCCCCCCTATCTCCGGTTGTAGCCAACGTATTCATGGAAAAAATTTGAAACTGACGCCAACCAGACTGCCACTCTGCGCCCGACCTTATGGAAGAGGTACGTGGATGACACCTTTGTCATCTCGCCACATGGCCAGCCTGCTCTAGACCAATTCCGCGACCACATCAATTCCATATACCGAGCCATCAGATTTACCATGGAGGTCGAAAAAGATGGCAAACTACCCTTTTTGGATGTCTTACTTAAAAGGAGACATGATGGTTCAATGAGCCACTCTGTCTACAGGAAAGCTACCCATACAGATGCTTACTTGAAACCGGATTCCCACCACCATCCATCCCAAAAGAACTCCCTCATCAAGACTCTATACCATAGAGCCCAATGCATTTCCGACCAGGAACACATTACCAGTGAACTCAAGCACGTACACCAGGCTCTCAGGGCTAATGGTTACTCCGACTACACAATCCGCAAAGCCATCACTCCAGTCATGAAGAAGGATCCTCTTGTGGAGCCACTCAAAACCATCACCTTACCCTACATTGCAGGGGTCACTAAAAATATCTCCAAAATCCTGAATAAACACAAGATCCAGGTCCGATTCAACACAGTACATAAAATCCGTGATCTAGTTCCACCTGTAAAAGATGCTGTTCCAGACATACAGTACAATATCTCGGACCGCATCCGCGAACATAAAGCAGACTTGAAACACGGTAGAACGAACTCCTCTGCCGTGGCAGATCACTGTTATAATTCAGTGGGCTCACATGACATTGACTTCTCCAAGACGGAGGTTTTTTGCAAACCAACTGGCTACCATGAGAGATTCGTTCATGAGGCCATTCACATATACAAGCACAGAGACAATTTTAACCGAGAAGATGGATTCTGGCTTAGTAACCATTGGAAAGATGTTTTAAACCATTTCCATTCTTAATTAATTGTATTTTACGATGACCTTCAGACCGCAGCTCTTTCGCTGGCATTGACTCTTAATACCTCTCACACCACGGTTAATGGTATGGTTTGCAACATGGAGAATAACAGCGCCTCGCAGCTGTCTCTCTCCCCCTCCTCTGTTCCGACCATGGATGAACTCGTCCGTCTGAACGGGACCCGTAGCTATCCGTGTTGCTAAAGTTGAGGGTAAGAATCCACCCATTTTTCGCCAAATAGCATTGTGATATATAACGACTTATTGTTGGTAGCTTAGCTGATTGGAGAATATAGAGTTTATTGATAACATTGAGGTAATTTATAATTTAGTATTTTTTATTGGTTCACTATATAATATTCATTATATATTGTATTGTATACCCAGTTACTGTGAATAGCTCAGATGTGTAGGCCTTAACTTCAACATAGCCATTTCTGTGACCAGTCACAAGCTAATCACTCAGTTATTTCAATGCTAAATTCGCCTAATTATTTCAATGCTAAATTCTCCTGTTTGATTTGTACTAGGTGCCTCGGTGAATGTATATGCTCTGACTTTAACATAGCTATTTCTGTGACCAGTTACAAGCTAATCACTCAGCTATTTCAATGCTAAATTCTATGCTAATTCCTTTGTCAAGGAGTGCCTCTGCGGATGTGTATACTTTAACATAGCTATTTCAATGCTAAATTCTATGTTAATTCCTGTGTCAAGGGGTCCCTTTGCGGATGTGTATGCTTTAACTTTAACATGGCCTTTTCTGTGACCAGTCACAAGCTAATCACTCAGCCATTTCAATGTTAAATTATATACTAATTCCTTTGTCAAGGTGCTTTGTTTCTTCTCACACATCTTAAAGGTCGTGATCTCAGCGTGGCTTTCTCACTCCAGCGCTGTCCTCCAGACAGTCTCGTCCCCTTCACCTGATGAAGGCCGCTTGTGTTGTGGCCGAAACGTCGTGAGAATATTAGTGTTATTTTATTTTATCAATTTATTATTTTATTCTCATTCTACGTGACTTTACCGAAAGAACCAAAGAAGATGAATCCTTGCAGTCACGAAAGCTTTAAATCGAAATTTTACATATTCTTAGCTCTTTCGGTAAAGTCCCGTTGAAGGGAAACAATAAAATAATAAAATATATATAAAATAATAAAAATTCTCACGACGTTTTGACCATAACACAAACCGACACACCTGATGACGACCGTTTGTGTTATGGTCGAAACGTCGTGAGAATTTTTATTGTTTAATATATATTTTATTATTTTATTGTTTCCCTTCAAAGTGACTTTACCGAAAGAGCTAAGAATATGAATTACTGCAGTCACGAAAGCTTTAAATCAAAATCATAACAACAATCTGGGCCACTGGACAGGTTCCGCAGGATTGGAAGGATGCCCTGGTGGTCCCCCTCTTTAAGAAGGGGGACCGCACAGACTGTAACAACTACAGGGGCATCTCACTCCTCAGTGTGCCGGGAAAGGTCCTGGCAAGGATTATTCAACATTGCCGTGCCAGGCACGCTGAGGAGAGGCTTGCGGACTCCCAATGCGGTTCCAGGAAAGGGCGGTCCTGCACAGATGCCATATTTTCTGTCCATCTGCTACAGCAGAGGTGTAGCGAATTCCCACTAGATCTACATCTCTGTTTCATTGGCCTGGTCAAGGCCTATGATACCATCAGTAGGCTTGAGCTCTAAGTTGTTCGTTGTGCTTTCGGAGTCCCTGACCCTCTCCTCATGCTCATTAAGGACCTTCATGATGGTGAGCAGGCCCGGGTAAAACTACGTGGCCGGGAGTCTGAGCCATTCCCTGTACACCTTGTGGTGCGACACGGATGTCCTCTGGCTCCAACATAATTTAACATCTATTTCAACCACGTAGTTAGTGAAGCCTTCAGTAGCTGCACCGGAGGAATTTCCATCTGGTTCAGATACAAAGGGAGGCTGATCGATGCCCGGGTGCGGTCAAGGGATGGCTCCCTATTGCTCAACCACGTTATGTATGCCGACGACCTGGTAATTGCTGCTCACTCAGTGGAGGAGTTGGAGGCGCTGCTGCTGAACCTGGAGGTTGCCACCAAGAGATGGGGCCTTACCATCAGCCCCACCAAAACTAATCACCCCCCTCGTGTGCCATACCGGCCTTTATAGGTCTGCGCAAACAGCATCTGCCCCTACAGTCTGTTCAGGCTACACGGGGGATCTTTGTCTTTGTGTCTGTGTGCGTCTGTGTGTTTCTGTGTGTGTTTCTGTCTACATATGTGTGACTGTGTGTTTGATGTGCATCTCTGTGTGTGTGTCCATGTGTCTCCGTACCCTTGGTCGTGTCGCCTGCCTCCAGGAGTGTGAAGGGGCGGTGCTTCTGGACGGGGTGGACAAAAAGCTCCACGTCACGGTCCATCTTGAACCCTTCCCCCAGAGACACCTGGGCCCACGGTGGGGGTGGTGGTGGAGCAGCAGTGGGCAGGGGAGGGGAGGCAGGATGAGGGAGGGTGAGGGTGTTAGGGAGTGGAGGGAGGGATTTGGAGGGGAGGTAGAGGAAGGAAGGAGGCCATCACCGCTCATGGCCACCACATGGATCAATCAAATAACGCAACCCAGCACAACCCCAGCGCAATCCAGATCTATCTGATGCAATACAGATGACCATATACACCCACATAGGTCAAGAGTTTCATATAGAACCACTTACAGGAAGTTCCTGGCTTTGTCCATGGGAAAAAAAAACATATATTTCAAAACTTTTCCACTCTTAAAAATTAAACATATACATACACAAATACTATGCTATTATGAAAGGCCAGCATTCCATTTGTCCGTCAACAAAATTATGAGAGACTTTCATAAGTCCTGAATCTAAAAGTTATAGATAGTGGGGGTAAAAAGTTTATATAAAAGGTATACTAACGTTGTTGACCCCCATGGCCCAGATTATTTTTGCCCCCCCTCCGCCCCAATATTTTTTTACCTCCCCGCCCCCACCCAAATTTGTATTTATTTTGCACGCATATATACCTCCACACCGTACGTACAATATAATTAGTCCTATCTACTGACTCTATATTAGTATCTACTGACCAAAGTAGTATCTACTGACTATAGTAGTAGCTAGTGACTCTAAAGTAGTACCTGCTGACCATAATAGTATCTAGTAACGCTATAGTATTATCTACTGACTTTAGTATTGTCTACTTACTGTAGTAGTATCTACTGAGAGTAGTAGTATCTACTGACTCTATAGTAGTGCCTACTGATTCTACATTAGTATCTACTGACTCTACAGTAGTATTTACTGACTCTGTAGTAGCTACTGATTCTATAGTAGTATCTACTGACTAAAGTAGTATCTACTTACTATAGTAGTAGCTAGTGACTCTAAAGTAGTACCTGCTGACTATAATAGTATCTAGTAACGCTATAATATTATCTACTGACTTTAGTATTGTCTACTTACTGTAGTAGTATCTACTGAGAGTAGTTGTATCTACTGACTCTATAGTAGTACCTACTGATTCTACATTAGTGTCTACTGACTCTACAGTAGTATTTACTGACTCTATAGTAGTAGCTACTAATTCTATAGTAGTATCTACTGACCAAAGTAGTATCTACTGACTATAGTAGTAGCTAGTGACTCTAAAGTAGTACCTGCTGACTATAATAGTATCTAGTAACGCTATAGTGTTATCTACTGACTTTATTAGTGTCTACTTACTGTAGTAGTATCTACTGAGAGTAGTAGCATCTACTGACTCTATAGTAGTACCTACTGATTCTACATTAGTATCTACTGACTCTACAGTAGTATGTACTGACTCTATAGTAGTAGTTACTGATTCTATAGTAGTATATACTGCCTCTATCGTAGTATCTACTGACTTTACAGTACTATCTACTGACTATAGCTGCATCTACTGCAGCTATAGTCATATATACTGACTGTAGTTGTATGTACTGACTGGAGTAGTATATACTGACAATAGTAATAACTACTGATTCTCTAGCAGTATCTCCTGACTCTACAGTAGTATTTACTAACTATATAGTAGTGTAGTGACAAGATGCCATCTGGTGGCCATTGGGGCTAACTACGGGTATGGGTGCGCTATAGAATGACGCATTTGCAGGCGACCACAAAGGGGGGCGTAACTGGGCCAAGGAGATCGAATTGGAAGCTCCTGCAACTCGTAGAAGGAAATGTTGGCCGCGGATATTATTTATCCTTCAACTAGCCCTGGGGAGCACCCCTGGTTCTGGTTAAGAAGCACAATGGCAGTCTAAAGTTCTGTGTGGATTTTCGCAAACTTAATAAGGTTTCGGTGGCTGATGCATATCCACTCCAGCAAATGGATGACTCCCTAGATGCGTTATCCGGTGCACGTTTTTTTTTCGACACTGGACTTGTTATCGGGGTTTTGGCAACTTCCCCCTTATGGGGTTGCATTTGGCACCTGCCACTTTCGAGCGGCTTACGGAATTGGTCCTGGTAGAACTGCAGTGGGACTCCTGCCTCATCTACTTAGATGACATCATTGTGTTTAGTAGCACTTTTGAGGATCATTTGCAGCGGTTGCGATCTGTGTTCTCCAGGATGCGGTCGGCTAATCTCAAATTGAAGCCCACTAAGTGTCGTTTGTTGCAAACCTCTGTGTGATACAAAACGGCCTGCGTGCATGATTAGCCGACCTCGAAGTCTGTGGGTGAGGTGCGCAGTTTTGTAGGGTTTGCGTCATATTACCGATGATTTGTTACACAGTTCGCGATTGTGGCAAAACCTCTCCACACTCTGACCGCTAAGAACCAGAAAGTTAAGTGGGGGGAGGAGGAGGAGGCTGCTTTTGTGGCCCTTCATGATCGCCTTTCCAACATGCCTCCCCTTAACTATCCGGATTTCTCCCTGCCAACTATTCTGGACATGGACGCTAGCAACACAGGCATAGGGACTGTCCTGTCCCAGGTAAAAAAACGGAGTTGAGAGGGTGGTCACGTATGGCAGTCGCGTCCTTTCCACTGCAGAACAGCGGTACTGTGTCACCCACAGGGAACTTTTGGCCATGGTGTACTTCATACAACAGTACAGGCCTTGTCTTGATGGCAGGGATTTTGTTGTTCGCACGGATCATTCAGTATTCTCTGCGAGTGGACCAACCTTTCGGCCAGCTCTCACGCTGGCTGAAAATACTCCAGCAGTACTCTTTCCGAGTTGTCTTTGTCGTAAAGGGGTGCGACATTGTAACGCGGATGCATTGCCCCGCTTGCCCCTGATGGAATGTCGCGCGTGTTCGTCGGGCACGTGCCGCTGTAAACCGCCTGTGGCGGGGTCTCCAAACGTCGTGGCGGTGCTCGGTGAGGGGGAGCCCGCCGAATTGCTCGCACTGGGGGACAGCACTTTGAACCTCGTCTATGCCGAGCGGGGGCGGCTACAGATCGAGGAAGTGGAGGTCTGCAAGTCGTCCTTCATGAAGGACTCTTGATGAGGTGGGACAAGGGGCTGCACCGTCACTGCATTGTGGTTCCGACCGTCTTCCTGGGCAGGTTGACGAAGGGTTGCGCACGAGGAAAAGCTGTTGCACCTTCGGGGTGCGAAAGACGTTTTTGACTTTGCAGCGTGACTTTTATTGGCCGGGAATGTCAAGCGACGTGCACCATCTGGTAAACGGTTGCACGGATTGCGTGCCAGCAACCGCCACTGAGGAATTCTTAGTCCATTATGGCGGCTGGGATTCACGAGTTGGTCGCACTTGACATCCTGGGACCCTTCCCGTCCATGCGGAGGGGAAATACATTTCTCGTAGTAGGGGTTGAATATTTCTCTCAGTGGCCGACCAATCAGCCGCATCTATTGTCGACGCATTTTTTGCATGGCTATGTAATGGACAAGAAAGCCCCCGAGTAGCTTTACATGGATAAGGGCCGGGATTTATCATCGAAGCCGCTGAGTGAGGTGTGCGACACGCTAGGCACAATTGTTCTGCCCTCAACTGTATAATTGTTGTTGGTATTAGCCGGAACGGCTATCTTTTAAACATGGGGGGTGGGGGGGGGGGGGTGATGTAGTGACAAGATGCCATCTGGTGGCTATGAGGGCTAACTATGGATACGAGTGCGTTATAGAACTAGGCAAATGTAAGCGACCACAAGGGGCGCGTACCTGGGCCAAGGGTCAAGGAGAGGAACGAACTGGAAGCTTCTGGAACCCGTGAGAGAGTTCCAGAAAGAGGGGCGTGGCCGACAGCAGGTCGAAGGCCACGCCGGGTGAACATAAGGGAGAGACAATCGGGGGGCTCAGTGCTGTCGTGGGGGATCGGGTCCTGGCTGTCATCGCTGCCATCTCTTTGTCGTCATCGTCGCTGCATGGCCAGCCAGCTAAACAGTCTTCATCGCCGTCGCCGCTATATAGTCAGCCACCTATATAGTTGTACATCGCCTCTATCGCTGTATGGGTGGCTAAGCTATAAGTCAGACAGCGCTTATGTTACTCTGTGACCCTGTCCTTAAAGTATACAACAAAAAATAAGAAACCCTCTTGTCTTGGAAGTTGTCTCATTACAGCAGTATCTTACTGAATCTATCGTAGTATCTACTGACTCTATAGTAGTATCTACCAACTCTATAGTAGTATCTACCAACTCTATAGTAGTGTCTACGGTCTTTTGTAGTAACTGCACACATTGAGGTGCAGGGGGAGAAGAATATATGACGCTGTGTCAGGATTTACCTCAGCGTGAGCTTCTGCAGCAGTAACATTTTTTTTGGTATATTTAGCATTTTTAACGAATATAAGAAACCTCCCTCCCGTCGCAGCTCAACAAGCTTCATTGCCTTGCTAGGGGCAACCGCGAGTTAGCATTTCCACACATGTGCAGATGCGTGCTTTGGTGCACACTCAAACGTATCATTACGATCAGCGTACATTGTCACATTGGGCAAAAACAAATAGCAATGTTTCGTCCGAAGGCTTAGTGTGTTGTATCTGTGTACTTTGTTGAAACGTAAACCAAACAGTATGTTAGTTAAACGCGTGACAAGGATTGGCATGTACAAACAGACAGACCAAAAATTACGTTTATAGGTAAGATAGAGATCCATAGAGACCCATATAGGACCATAGAAACCCACAGAGATCCAGACACTCATATAAAACCGTAGAGACCCACAGAGACCCAGACACTCATAAAGAACCATAGAGACCCACAGAGACCCAGACACTCATAAGAACCATAGAGACCCACAGAGACCCAGACACTCATATACAACCATAGAGACCCACAGAGACCCAGAGATCATATACAACCATAGAGACCCACAGAGACCCAGACACTCATGAAGAACCATAGAGACCCAAAGAGACCCACATACTGAGGCGAGGTAGTTAACATTTCGTCAGGGTCATGATTGGTATCCACGACCTCTTGTGCACCAGGGGAGGTAGTTAACATCCCCTAGCAGGCACGTAGCCACCCTTGCCTGAGCCACGGAGTTGCCCGGACCCGAGTAGGAGACCGGCCCGAGGTCGCAGGCCGAGGTGATGGCAGCTATGCCTCCGGGAGCTTCGGCATGGAGACGGAAGGCCATTGAGTAGGGCAGCGGCTGGGAGCAGCTCACAAACGGCACGGAGGGAAGAGCGGAGTCCGCTGATGATGATGATGATGAGCCTGCCGGTGGGAGGGAGGAGATGCGGAGTGGAGGGAGCAGATGGAAGGGAGGGCGGAGATGGGGGTGGGATGGGGAGGAGATGGGGAGTGGAGAGAGGAGATGGGGAGGGAGGAGATGAGGAGGAGAGGGAGGAGATGGGGAGGGGAGAGAGGAGATGGGGAGAGAGGAGATGAGGAGGAGAGGGAGGAGATGGGGAGGGGAGGGAGGATGGGAGGAAGAGAGAGGCGTGTTCACACAGAGCTCCTGATTTCACCTCTACAACGTTTTTATTTTCACTCTCATTATTTTCGCCTTTTTTACGGAGAGTTTATCTCCCATCAGTGAGTTATTTGCGTTGAGTTGTAAGTTCAACTGCCTGGCAATAGATGGCGGTGGTGGTGGCATCTACATCTGCAGCTCGTGAAAAACCAGTGGCATTTACATCTGCAGAACACCAGTGGCATCTACATTTGCAGAAAATGAAGAAGCAGTGGAATCTATATCTGCAGAACGGAAGAATCAGTGGCATCTACAGTACGTGACTTTACAGAAAGCACGAAAGAGTATGCTCCTCTGGATTTTCAGAAGAGGTTTCCAGCAACGGCTGTCCTATGTCATGGCAGCTCTACACCCCCATTGTGGAACTTTCTCTGCGTCTTCTTCAACAAAAGCTCGCTGGCTTAACTTTGAAGGAGTCCAGTATGAGAGTGACTCTCACAGCATACGCCGCTGACATTCTGTTCTTCCTACGAAGCTTTAGTGACATTGAACGGCTACTGGAGTGCCTGGGAGGTATGCTCCCATGCGTCCTCCTCCAGGATGAGTTGGGAGAAGTGCAGCAACTCGTGGGGATGTGGAACGAGGCTCAGTTCCCTGAGTTGGCCAACGCCGTCGTGTGGAGCGAGGGATGCCTTCAACATATTGACGTCTGCCAAGGGCCTGGAGATAAGCTGCTTGAGAGAAACTGGGATATTTTGGAAGAAATGAGTGAGGACATGACTGTAGCATTGTGGGCCGTGCCTGTGTACAACCCTCACGTTCAGAGGCAAACCCCTGGTGGTGAAGAACCAGTTTGAGTTGGTCCACATTGTGGCACTGCTTTTTTCACCCTCGCTCCAGCCGCGTATTTGATCGGCAGCCGGCAGAGGATGGTAGCGAATTTATTTTGCTCGCATAGAAGGCACCGGGGCGTTGCTGCCGTAGTCTTAGCATTGCCACGGCGTTCGAGGCGGGCAGGATCTAATGTGCATATGGAGTCAACTGTCCACCTTTCGCTTGCAAGCCGTGCAAAGGTTTCGGTACACAGCCCCATCAACTGTGGGGTGTTCCACAGCATCCTTGTTTATAAGTCACCTGGTGGTGAGGGCTGAAGTTCAGCAAGCGGATATTCTATATTTGCATTACAGGTATCCCGCTAACGCAGATTGAAGAAGTGTCCTACAGTCCTGGGCTCTCTTAGTCACTACCCAAACAAATGAACACCCGGCCAGCATCAGACTTCGCTCGCGAAGCGCTTTGGTGGAATCATGACACGGGACGAAACTTTATCTTGTGGGTTTAGCCATAGAGAAGCGTCACGGTCGATGCGCATCTCACCAGGGTAGACGATCTGGCTGCAATGACGGGACTGCATTAAATAAGAATCGCCGCGAAACTTATAAACGAGGTGCGCAAGGCTCAGCTCAAAAGGAGTGGGAGCACGCATTCCCTGAGTGTTGATGACGTGTCAGCCCCTGGTAGTCGAGTGTCTCCAGAGATGACTGTTGAGTCGGCAAGTAAAGTACTCACTTTCTCTTTCGATTTAAAGCTTTCGTGACTGCAAGGATTCATCTTCTTCGGTTCTTTTCGGTAAAGTCACCAACACGTAGAATGAGAATAAAATAATAAATTGATAGAATAAAATAACGCAATAATATTCTCACGACGTTTCGGCCACAACACAAGCGGCCTTCATCAGGTGAAGGGGACGAGACTGTCTGGAGGACTCCAGCGCTGGAGTCCTCCAGACAGTCTCGTCCCCTTCACCTGACAGCGCTGTCCTCCAGACAGCCTCGTCTCCTTCACCTGATGAAGGCCGCTTGTGTTGTGGCCGAAACGTCGTGAGAATATTATTGTGTTATTTTATTTTATCAATTTATTATTTGATTCTCATTCTACGTGACTTCACTTTCTCTTCTCGCAGATCGGCCGTCGGGAAGGGCGCTTCTCAAATGTAGAACGGAAGAAACGGTATGCTCACGTGGTGCCCCTCAATAATAACCAGCAGGTACTGAGGTCGTGCAAAGGAACACGCTTGGAGGGACTCAAAGCGACCGTGTAACCCTCCTCACTGGGAGCTGTTCTCACCCATCATCTAAACGCCAGGGTGGCCTCAGCTGGAGTACTGCCCGTGTTACGGTGACCACAGGTAATTTTCTGGCACACTTCACGGGACGCCGAGCCAGAATGTTTGTTCCGTGGTGGATTCGAAACGGTAGCCCGTCGGCGTGTACATTGCAAAAGCCTCGACTCAATTTTTTAAGCTCCCACGCGACATCTTGCCAAAGTTTAGACTTAACTTCTCCTCCAACAATTATTTTTTTTTTGGGGGGGGATATGAAGGGAAAGCCGGCACCAAAGGTATGGCAGAGTGGACTTGGTGAACTCCATCACGAACAATGGGAAACTGGCGGCCTAAAGGGCTGGGAAATGGGCAATTGAAGGAAACGGCTTATACAGCAGCCACTGTCGCAACTTCAAGGGCCTGGTTTCTGCTCGAATTTGACTGGAATTTCGCCACACTCAGTTGATGGGGGGTAGGTTGGGGGGTGGTCGTGTGATCGTGTTAATCACTGTCATCAGAATCATTGGAAAGATTTGATAAACCATTTCAGGTCTTAATTGATCGTTCACGCTTACAGTGGCTTTCAGACAGCATACATTATAATTTTTCGTCTCCCCCCTTCCTCTTTTCAGAACGTAGATGGACTAGTCCTTCTAAATAAACTGACAAATCGCTGCGCGTGGCGCTGACGTTTTTTTATAAATAAATAAATACACCGTTTAAAAATAAATAAATTTATGCAAACCGACACACCTGATGACAACCGTTTGTGTTATGGTCGAAACGTCGTGAGAATTTTTTTTATTGTTTTATATATATTTTATTATTTTATTGTTTCCCTTCAACGTGACTTTACCGAAAGAGCTAAGAATATGAATTACTGCAGTCACGAAAGCTTTAAATCAACATTTCACTGTCATCAGGTTCACAATAGGCCGTGTCGGAGACTGAGCCAGCAAAAGGCTCACGTCCTGGTCTCTGTTGGTGAGTTCACAATGGCCACATTGCTATCACTGCTGTTATCACCGCTGAAGTAGAAGTGATCTCACCTGGCGGCGTGTAGCGAGGGTTGAGGACCGTGGGCAGGCAGAATCTCACCGCTCCGTCCGGCTCCACCGGCAACTCGCTCACAAACTCCACCCGCAGCTCAGCAACCTCGCCCGCCCCCAAGTTGCCCAGCACGCACTGGAACACGTCGCCCCGTTCCTCGGAGAGCAGGAAGGCCGTGCGGCCAGAGCTCATCGCATCGTCGTACACCTCCTTGGCCTGGGGAAACGATACACTCACACATTCACCCATTCACTCATTCACTCATTCACTCATTCACCCATTCACTCATTCACCCATTCACTCATTCAACCACTCACCCACCCAATTACACACTCACTCAGCCATCCACTAACTCACTCAACCACTCACTAAAGCATTCACTAGCGCACCCACCTGACCACTCACTCACAAACTCACCCACTCACACATTCACCCATTCACTCATTCATCCACTCACCCACCCAATTACACACTCACTCAGCCATCCACTAACTCACTCAACCACTCACTAAAGCATTCACTAGCGCACCCACCTAACCACTCACTCACAAACTCACCCACTCACACATTCACCCATTCACTCATTCAACCACTCACCCACCCAATTACACACTCACTCAGCCATCCACTAACTCACTCAACCACCCACTAAAGCATTCACTAGCGCACCCACCTGACCACTCACTCACAAACTCACCCACTCACACATTCACCCATTCACTCATTCAACCACTCACCCACCCAATTACACACTCACTCAGCCATCCACTAACTCACTCAACCACTCACTAAAGCATTCACTAGCGCACTCACCTAACCACTCACTCACAAACTCACCCACTCACACATTCACCCATTCACTCATTCATCCACTCACCCACCCAATGACACACTCACTCAGCCATCCACTAACTCACTCAACCACTCACTAAAGCATTCACTAGCGCACTCACCTGACCACTCACTCACAAACTCACCCACTCACACATTCACCCATTCACTCATTCAACCACTCACCCACCCAATTACACACTCATTCAGCCATCCACTAACTCACTCAACCACTCACTAAAGCATTCACTAGCGCACTCACCTAACCACTCACTCACAAACTCACCCACTCACACATTCACCCATTCACTCATTCAACCACTCACCCACCCAATTACACACTCATTCAGCCATCCACTAACTCACTCAACCACTCACTAAAGCATTCACTAGCGCACTCACCTAACCACTCACTCACAAACTCACCCACTCACACATTCACCCATTCACTCATTCAACCACTCACCCACCCAATTACACACTCACTCAGCCATCCACTTACTCACTCAACCACTCACTAAAGCATTCACTAGCGCACTCAACTAACCACTCACTCAAAAACTCACCCACTCACACATTCACCCATTCACTCATTCATCCACTCATCCACCCACTAAATAGCTCACTCACCCACTAGACCAGCCACTCACCCACTCAATAGCCCACTCATTCATCCACTCGCTCCCTCACCCGGTCACCCACTCACTCATCCACACAAACACCCACCCACTCACTCACGCACTCACTCATTCACTAGCGCACTCACCTAACCACTCACTCACAAACTCACCCACTCACACATTCACTCATTCAACCACTCACCCATCCAATTACACACTCACTCAGCCATCCACTAACTCACTCAACCACTCACTAAAGCATTCACTAGCACACTCAACTAACCACTCACTCACAAACTCACCCACTCACACATTCACCCATTCACTCATTCATCCATTCACCCACCCAATTACACACTCACTCAGCCATCCACTAACTCACTCAACCACTCACTAAAGCATTCACTAGCACACTCAACTAACCACTCACTCACAAACTCACCCACTCACACATTCACCCATTCACTCATTCATCCATTCACCCACCCAATTACACACTCACTCAGCCATCCACTAACTCACTCAACCACTCACTAAAGCATTCACTAGCGCACTCACCTAACCACTCACTCACAAACTCACCCACTCACACATTCACCCATTCACTCATTCATCCACTCACCCACCCAATTACACACTCACTCAGCCATCCACTAACTCACTCAACCACTCACTAAAGCATTCACTAGCGCACTCACCTGACCACTCACTCACAAACTCACCCACTCACACATTCACCCATTCACTCATTCAACCACTCACCCACCCAATTACACACTCATTCAGCCATCCACTAACTCACTCAACTACTCACTAAAGCATTCACTAGCGCACTCACCTAACCACTCACTCACAAACTCACCCACTCACACATTCACCCATTCACTCATTCAACCACTCACCCACCCAATTACACACTCATTCAGCCATCCACTCATTCAACCACTCACCCATCCAATTACACACTCACTCAGCCATCCACTAACTCACTCAACCACTCACTAAAGCATTCACTAGCACACTCACCTAACCACTCACTCACAAACTCACCCACTCACACATTCACCCATTCACTCATTCAACCAACTCCCACCCAATTACACACTCACTCAGCCATCCACTAACTCACTCAACCACTCACTAAAGCATTCACTAGCACACTCAACTAACCACTCACTCACAAACTCACCCACTCACACATTCACCCATTCACTCATTCATCCATTCACCCACCCAATTACACACTCACTCAGCCATCCACTAACTCACTCAACCACTCACTAAAGCATTCACTAGCGCACTCACCTAACCACTCACTCACAAACTCACCCACTCACACATTCACCCATTCACTCATTCATCCACTCACCCACCCAATTACACACTCACTCAGCCATCCACTAACTCACTCAACCACTCACTAAAGCATTCACTAGCGCACTCACCTGACCACTCACTCACAAACTCACCCACTCACACATTCACCCATTCACTCATTCAACCACTCACCCACCCAATTACACACTCATTCAGCCATCCACTAACTCACTCAACCACTCACTAAAGCATTCACTAGCGCACTCACCTAACCACTCACTCACAAACTCACCCACTCACACATTCACCCATTCACTCATTCAACCACTCACCCACCCAATTACACACTCATTCAGCCATCCACTCATTCAACCACTCACCCATCCAATTACACACTCACTCAGCCATCCACTAACTCACTCAACCACTCACTAAAGCCTTCACTAGCACACTCACCTAACCACTCACTCACAAACTCACCCACTCACACATTCACCCATTCACTCATTCAACCAACACCCACCCAATTACACACTCACTCAGCCATCCACTAACTCACTCAACCACTCACTAAAGCATTCACTAGCGCACCCACCTGACCACTCACTCACAAACTCACCCACTCACACATTCACCCATTCACTCATTCACCCATTCACTCATTCAACCACTCACCCACCCAATTACACACTCACTCAGCCATCCACTAACTCACTCAACCACTCACTAAAGCATTCACTAGCGCACCCACCTAACCACTCACTCACAAACTCACCCACTCACACATTCACCCATTCACTCATTCAACCACTCACCCACCCAATTACACACTCACTCAGCCATCCACTAACTCACTCAACCACTCACTAAAGCATTCACTAGCGCACTCACCTAACCACTCACTCACACATTCACCCATTCACTCATTCACCCATTCACTCATTCATCCACTCACCCACCCAATTACACACTCACTCAGCCATCCACTAACTCACTCAACCACTCACTAAAGCATTCACTAGCGCACCCACCTAACCACTCACTCACAAACTCACCCACTCACACATTCACCCATTCACTCATTCAACCACTCACCCACCCAATTACACACTCACTCAGCCATCCACTAACTCACTCAACCACCCACTAAAGCATTCACTAGCGCACCCACCTGACCACTCACTCACAAACTCACCCACTCACACATTCACCCATTCACTCATTCAACCACTCACCCACCCAATTACACACTCACTCAGCCATCCACTAACTCACTCAACCACTCACTAAAGCATTCACTAGCACACTCACCTAACCACTCACTCACAAACTCACCCACTCACACATTCACCCATTCACTCATTCATCCACTCACCCACCCAATGACACACTCACTCAGCCATCCACTAACTCACTCAACCACTCACTAAAGCATTCACTAGCGCACTCACCTGACCACTCACTCACAAACTCACCCACTCACACATTCACCCATTCACTCATTCAACCACTCACCCACCCAATTACACACTCATTCAGCCATCCACTAACTCACTCAACCACTCACTAAAGCATTCACTAGCGCACTCACCTAACCACTCACTCACAAACTCACCCACTCACACATTCACCCATTCACTCATTCAACCACTCACCCACCCAATTACACACTCATTCAGCCATCCACTAACTCACTCAACCACTCACTAAAGCATTCACTAGCGCACTCACCTAACCACTCACTCACAAACTCACCCACTCACACATTCACCCATTCACTCATTCAACCACTCACCCACCCAATTACACACTCACTCAGCCATCCACTTACTCACTCAACCACTCACTAAAGCATTCACTAGCGCACTCAACTAACCACTCACTCAAAAACTCACCCACTCACACATTCACCCATTCACTCATTCATCCACTCATCCACCCACTAAATAGCTCACTCACCCACTAGACCAGCCACTCACCCACTCAATAGCCCACTCATTCATCCACTCGCTCCCTCACCCGGTCACCCACTCACTCATCCACACAAACACCCACCCACTCACTCACGCACTCACTCATTCACTAGCGCACTCACCTAACCACTCACTCACAAACTCACCCACTCACACATTCACTCATTCAACCACTCACCCATCCAATTACACACTCACTCAGCCATCCACTAACTCACTCAACCACTCACTAAAGCATTCACTAGCACACTCAACTAACCACTCACTCACAAACTCACCCACTCACACATTCACCCATTCACTCATTCATCCATTCACCCACCCAATTACACACTCACTCAGCCATCCACTAACTCACTCAACCACTCACTAAAGCATTCACTAGCACACTCAACTAACCACTCACTCACAAACTCACCCACTCACACATTCACCCATTCACTCATTCATCCATTCACCCACCCAATTACACACT